CTCTCATCAGCAGCCTCCCTTATTACATGCAGAAATGGGGCAAAAGAGAAGAGATACAAAGATGTGCTCATATCCTTCACAGAGGATATCCATCAGATACCAAAGAAGGTAGTGCAGGACCAGGACGGCCAAGTGCATGGAAGAGTTAAAAGGAGAGGGTGGGTGACTCGGCAGTAAGGTCAGTTTTCTAGAGTTCCAGTAAAATGGGGTCAGTGGTGTCCCACTGGAGGGATTAAGGAGTTGTTGGGTGTACAGTGTGGAGGCAGAGTAGGGTGGGGTTGCCTATTTTGTCAGATGTTTGGTATTAAAAAGGAGAGGTGAGCCTCTAAGGCCTGTAGGAGAGAGAGGAGTTTTTTTTAAAGGAATAAGGGAAGTTGAGCATGTTGGAAGGCAGAGAAAGAGAGTAATGACAATGGCTAACATATCTGCAGAGCTTATCACATGCCAGGCATCGCGGTGAGTACTTTACACCCATGATCACATTTAATCCTTAAAACAGCCCCAAGATGAAGATATTTCTTCCCCAGGTTTTGAGGTGAAGCCACCAATGCTTATAGAGTTTGTTTGCCTGATGTCACAGGGCTAGTAAATGGCAGTGCCAGGGTTTGAATTTTGACTCTGTGAATCTAACCACTATGACCAGAAGTGAGAGGACAGCCAAAACTGCAAGAGCTAAAGGGGCTATTTGGTAGAGCCCTCTGAGAGGAGAGAGTCTGACAGATGATGGGGAGTTGCAGCCTCAAGTTAGAAATTCCAAAGGAAAGGAACCACATCTGACTTGTACTGTTCTCCGTGATGCATTCATGGATGATGTAGCTGATACAACCAAGACAGGAGTAGTTTGTGTTTGGTATGTTTACTGACGGAACTGCCCTCCTGTGGGACTGGTTCAATCTGGGCTCTCTGAACCTTACCCCTTTGTCATCTAATAATTCAAACTCTGACGTGTCCAGGAATCACTCTGCTCTGGATGTCGCTGTGTTATCTGTTTGGTGCTTGTGCACTTGAGAATTAAACTACATCTGTCCTTCTCCACTGTATTCTGTAATATCCATAAGTGAAAGTTCATGGAAAAATTGGGGGTGGGAGCGGCTCAGTTCAAGTGAGCCTCGTTGCTACTCTGCAGTAATTTGTACTCCACAGTCTATTTCTGCATAACAGGCAGACATCAATCCACCATCCACTCAATTTATTCATTCATCAGACATCTATTGCATGCTTACTCTGTGATAGGCCTGTTCTAAGTGCTGATGATATCAAGATTAACAGATACACATCTCTGGGGGCGGAAGCGGTGATTGGACAACAGGCAGGGCCGTGGAAGGATTTAACATTCTTAAGAATGGGAAATGTTTAAGGTGTTCATATTCTCCCGAAGAGTTGGATAAATAAGCTTGGAGACCAGGCAGTCAGAAGCTGTACCCCAAATCCTGCTGCAGGGCCAGTCTGGGAGAAAAAAGCATGGCTGCCCTGGGGACAGGGCTGCTGCCAGCACCACTGGTACCACTGACCAGCAGGGGTCATCAAAAGCTTCTCCCTCCGGACAAACAAGCACCACTTGTACTCACCATTAAATTGGTACTGATTGATCGACACTTATGTGCATATATGGAAGTAACATTCATTGATTGTTGGGCAGGTGGGAGGGGGAGAGGGGATAGGTAAACTCACACCTAATGGGTGTGGTACTTGCTGTCCATGGGATGGGCACACTTGTAGCTGCGACTTGGGTGGTGCAAAAGCAATTTATGTAAGCAAAGCATTTGTACCCCTATAATACTCTGAAATAAAATAAATAAATATTTTTAAAAATAAAAATAAATTTAAAAAAGAATATATACATATGTTTGTATATGCACTAAAAAACAGTAGAAAAATAGTAAGAAAGTGATTGAAATGATTACTTATTAAAGGCAGAAAGAAACAGAGAGAGAAGGATGGGCCCAACAAATGTCAAACTAGATTTTTTTATTTCGTTTTTATTCTGACCTCTTAAAGTAAAACCTTTGCCGTCTCTGGAACTGGCATTCACTCCCAAGCACCCCAGCATGAGTTCCGTTTGGCTTGGCTTCTTTGCATTGCTAGCTTTCAATTCAGAGTCTGGAGTGGGTGGTCTGGTTGGCAAGGCCTAGCTCACATGCCAATAGCTGAACTTCGCAGGAGTCTGGAAAAAGGAGTATCTGCATTTTTGTCTGCTGTAGTGGATGTGGGCTCTGGTAGCAGCTGAAGTGTTAGGTGGCCATAAAGAATGGTAGATGCCCATTTATTCATGAAACACATGAATAAACAGTGCCAATCATTCCGCATCAGGAGACAGGTCACTGAGTTTCTCTATAATTCCTCTATAGAGGACTATTTTAAATTCTTCTTTGAATCTTCAACACTTTGCTGTTTTCCTGGAAAATGGTGAGCTCTCAGAAAATGTTTGTGGAATGGATTAATAAATGCTCGTTGAGTATATTCTTTCAACAAACATGTATTAGCCTTATACTTTGTGTCAAACACTATGTTGAACACCATTTGCGGGGTCGAAATGCTTTACCTGATAGTAAAGAAAGAAGTAATCAGGAATAAGGACTGGGCTACCATGTAAGAATCAAAATATGAGGATAGAATGTAGAGTGAAGAAATACTGCTCAGATAAGAAGTAGAGTGAATCTGAATCAGCTTCCTAAGTTGAAGTTGGAAATATGGTAGTCAGGGGTAGAAAGCACTGAAAAACTTCCCAGGACAAATTGTAGAGATGGTGGGGTGGGACCAGTTAGAGGGGACAGTCACCTGCTGGGAGCAGAGTGGGCAAGCTGTACCTCAAGCTCTTCCCACTCTTATCTGGCTGGCTGGGGCATTTCTAGGCCATTTGCTTGCTTGCTTTTTAGGGAAGTTATAGCACTTGCTGTTTTTTCTCTGAGTTACTCTAAGTAACTCTCTTAGTTTCTCTAAGTTACTATTGTATGCTCAAATTGTAGCAAACCATTAAATGTACTATATCCGCAAAGCTCTTAGAACCGTGTCTACCATGTTGTAAGTACTATATAACCACTTATTAAAAAATAAAAATAAATATTCTGTTTCTGATGCTTTCAGATATATCAGGGATCCCACTTGGACTCAAATTTAGTAAATACCAGGAATATTCTTTCACCTTTTGAGCTTTGGCCCTTTTCATGCAGCATCATCTACTTCCCAAGTACGATGTGCTTTTCCATGTTCCAGGTTTTACCTGTAGCACAGCCCCTCAGCCCCTCCTCTGTCCCTTCACAGGGCAGGTCATGAGTGCCACCCCCTGGGTAAAGTGACCTGACTGCTGGACCCAGCAGTTCTTCTCTATCTTGTTAACTGCTGAAGTTTTTAAAAAAAATGTTCCATCTGGCCTTTTCAGTTGTCTTCAGAGGAATGGTTGGTCCAGTTTATCTCCTGTCACTGTTGAAAATGGAAATTCTAGTTCATGTGCTTTATGCAGTTTCAATCATATCCTCACAAAACCCTATAAAGAAAACTAGAGAGGTTTTGTTCATTGCACAGATGAAGAAAATGAGGCACAGAGAGTTTACGTTTGCTGTCATGGGTCTTAGAGCTGGTAAGGAATGGAATCAGAATTTGAACTCAGGCAGTCTGGGTTTAGAGCTTGTCTTACTCCATTTTTGTGCTGCTGTAACAGAATGCCATGGACCGAGTTAATTTATAAAGAATAAAAATGTATTGGCTCACAGTTCTAGAAGCTGGGAAGTCTAAGATCAAGGGGGCCAGCATCTGCGGAGGGCCTTCTTACTGCGTCATCCCAGGGCGGAAGGGCAAGAGAGAAGAAAGAGAGAGAGAGAGGGAGGGAGGGAGGGAAGAGAAGAGAAGAGAAGAAAAGAAAAGAAAAGAAAAGAGGAGCAGGGGACTGAACTTTCATTACCTTCCTGGGGCGATGCATTCACTCCGGAGATAAGGAACCTATTCTGTGGTAATGGCCTTAATCTATGAACTGCACCCTCATGGCCTAATCACCTCTCATTAGGTCTCACCTCCCAGCATTGTTGCATTGGGGATTAAGTTTCCAACACATGCTTTTTGGGGGACACATTCAAGCTATAGCAGAGCTTGTGTTCTTAACCTCTGTGTCCATTCATTTTCAGTATTTCATAAAGCAAGATAACTGCTTCATCATCCAAACCATTCCTTTAAAAGGTCAAACAAGTCTCTACCTGTATGTGTTTCCCTTATAACTTGGGGGACAGCTTGACAAAAGCCTAGCCATCTAGAATTTAATACCAGTAAATACAGTATATTCTGTATCTTTTTAAATGGGCATGCAACATGGACAGATATATTATCAAATAATTAGTTCCCTATTTTTGTGGATTTCGATATTCCTAGCTTCATGAACATTTCAGTCTTGCGCAGAGAAAAAAATCCTTTGAATTTTGCCAAAATTGTGTTGTTTTATTGAATTTGGTCAAGGCATGCAGGGATGAAATCAACACATCCAATGAACTAACCATTTGAATATCTGATAAAATTTTTAAAATCTGGAATCTTCAATTGTGGAAAATGGCATCAGTGAATGGGACTCAAAAAGCTCCATTTATGTACTCTTATGAGCCAAAAAGTCCTTGGGATTGTGTCACAGCAGGACACTTTTATGTACCACAAATGGCCAAAACCCCCCTGGGACAGCCAGGGGCCTCGCATAGTGCTGAGGGACTCCAAGTACACTCTGCGGCCAGCACTCGCGCCCCCTCCCCCCTCTCTCCCTCTCTCCCTCTCTCCCTCTCTCCCCACTTCCCCCTCCCTTCTCTCTTCTTCCCCCCTCACCCCACACACACACAACAATACATCCAGGATTCCAAAGGCATGGAACCAGACCTGCTCCATTGCTTTGGTTCCATTTGAAGCACATGTATCTCTTCCTCTATCCAAACTAGTTTGGTTTTGTTATTTTATTCTTAAGAAAAAAAAAGCCTTTTTCTACTTTCGGTAAAATTAAATGTCTAACATATTCCAATTCTTTTTGACAGAGAAAAAGACAAGCATATGAATCTAACCTCATCTGTCATGGCTTGCATCTAGAAGCAACAAGATCGGTAAGTGTGGGTTCCTTTTCCACCCTTGGCTGACCACTGTTCTTGGGAACCTGTGTGGCACTTGGCACACTGTGATGGCATTGGAAATGCGCAGCCTTGGCTATACCTTAGTCAGAGACTATAAGGAGAGTCAACCAAAATCTGTATTGAATAAAATGTATTGTTTTTTTCTGATTGAAGCTGGCAAATCTTTTTTAGTAGCCAAATAATTTTATAATGAATGCATGTATGAATTATGATTGACTTCCTTTAAGAATCTTTTCAAAGCTTTTTTATTATATAAGGAATAGTTTATGATAAAAACTAGAAAATGTAAAAATAGGGAAAATAAAAATCATCTGTATCTCATCCAGTAATAACCTTATATTCCTTCTAAACATTTTTCCCTTTAAATATATATATATTTAAATATATATATATATTTCCCCTGTCAAAGGGGGAATTATCATTTCACAGTTTTATAATTTGTTTTTGTTTAATATATAGTAAGTGTATTTCTATATCAAAAATACAATCCATTGATTATACTAAAAAGTATAATCATTTTTAATGGCTGCATAACATGTTGCACATATATACAATAAACCATTCTAGGCTTAGGAAATTAAAATTTTTTTCATTACTATAGCACTGCAATGAATATTCTAGTGTTTTTATTTTAAGTCACTAATTTGGATGGGGTGATGGTCAAATTAACTAGTTTTTTTTTCTTGATTCAGAATATTTTATGAAAGAACTACGATAATAATTTGAATTACTTTCTTAATAATTTGAACCAAGAAATTATCTTTAAGACAAAAATTTATGATGGTTTGCTAATCTATTTTTATTATATCTCCACTTCTACTGGTGTACTCTGTGTGTGGGGGAGGGTTTCTTTTTTGTTTTTGTTTTTTCTACCTCCAGCAACATAAGAAAAATCTTACGTTTTAAAATTGTGAAAATAGTTGGTTTGGTTTTGTGGTCTGTGTTTTTATTCTTCCAACATAGGTTTTGGATGACAAGCTTGTATTTGTAAAAGTACATGCACCATGGGAGGTGTTATGTGCGTATGCTGAGATAATGCACATCAAATTGCCTCTGAAACCCAACGATCTGAAAACCCGGGGCTCAGCCTTTGGTAGACTCAACTGGTTTACCAAGTTCCTCAGTGTGGACGAAAGTATCATCAAGCCAGAACAAGAGTTTTTCACTGCCCCATTTGAGAAGAACCGGATGAATGATTTTTATGTTGTTGATAGAGATACCTTCTTCAATCCCGCCACCAGAAGCCGCATTGTAAGTCTAAAACAAATTTAGTTGCTCTCTTAGAGTGATTTGGAACCTGCTATTGGATAATTAGTTGTTTGGTTGATTCAGTTTTGTTTTCAAAAGCTGCAAAAAAAAAAATACGCCTGCAGATTCCTGTTATAGTAGTAAAATGATTGAATTGGTTAGTTACACTATATAAATCACACACTCTATTTTGGAATCTTTTTAGGTTTACTTCATCCTCTCTCGGGTCAAGTATCAAGTGATGAACAATGTTAACAAGTTTGGGATTAACAGACTTGTAAACTCTGGAATCTACAAGGCAGCTTTCCCTCTCCATGATGTAAGTTAAATGGCAAAAATGAAATAAACATCTTAATGTACACTCCAGTGTCAACAATAAAGAAAGGCCAACTACCTTGTCCTTAAGTTTCTTCCTCGATAAAATCAAGATAAAATACTGCAAGTCTACAAGCTCATTTAGGGCAAGAACCAGGTTGTTTTGTTCACGAATGGACCTCAGGCATAGAGAAGGTACTCACTTTAAAGGAACGAATTAATGAATGAACAGTGTCACACTCTCCCACAGTTAATGTATAAAGCAGTACAGATTAGCAGTTAATCTGGATTAGCATTTCTGGGACTGAAATGCCTGCTCTGCCACTTTCTAGCTGGATGATTTTGTGAAAATTACCTAGTCTCTCTGTTCCTTAATTTCTTCATCTATAAAATGGGGATAATAATAGTGCCTCCCTCATAGAATTGTTATGAGGATTAATTAAATTAATCCATGTCAAATGTTAATCCCTGGCATATAATAAGTACTATATAAGTGTTAGCTATTTTCACAATCACTGACGAATGTTATTATCAACCAGAAAATATTAGTTCTTTGCAAGCAAAATACATGTTAGACCTTCTCATTTATCATTTTCTGTAACATAGACTTTTTCCCCTCATTTGAAATACTGTTTTCAAACTGCCCTGGAATATTCCAGGGCTTTTTAAAAAACATCTGGTAGGGTTGTTGTCACAGTGGCTGTACCCCAGATTGTTGACATTTTTTTAAGGACTACATTCTGAGACTACAGCAACCCCTCAAATTCAAGAGAACTTCTCTAGCTGATAATATCACTCATGAAATGAAATTTTTAAAATGTGACCACCCCAGACCCTTAATGACTCCATGAATGCAGAACATTATGTCTAAAGCTGTTTAAATAAATTCTGTCATTGAAATAAATACCACCCTTTATTACATTGTTACTTTGTTACATTCACTATCAATTTATCTGAATCTCCAAAACTCTGAACAAGGACTGAGATTGATAATTGCTACTGTGTAGTACATTTATTTGTGGATGAAAACAATATCGAAATATACAATACAGGATAATAAAACTAGGACTCCAAACAGCTATTTGATGCACATGGGTAAGTAGAGAACAGGGAGCTTGGTGGAGAAGCAGATGCTGAGCTCCAGCCTGACAGTCCTTGTATTTCATGTCTGTGCCCAGCAAAATTAGCAATTATAGCATGACATGAACTTTGGGGATACTTGCAGATAGCTACCATGAATATTTATAGTATTCAATTGACATTTGCCTGTGCCCAGGTCTTTTCTATTACAGCCTCTTCTGCGTGCAGTAATCCCAGATCCAGGGTAAAGAATGATCCCATTTGGCATTTGGAAGGGATGTGGGTGGAGGTCAGGGCCCATGCTAAGGTTTGACTGGATGATAATCTGGTTCTAGTACAGGAAGAATGAAAACAGGCAGGAAAAAGGACAGTTGAATTTAAGCAGAGGCAGGAGGTTTTGTTTCTTGAATAAGCTAAGTGTGTAACATGATGTCAAGCTTCTTTGTTTATTTTCTGCATGCTGTCACAGAATAACTGCTGGACTGGGGGCAAAGAAGCCTGGGTTGTAGAATTGACCCTGTTGCTGACCAGCTCAGACCCTGGTTTCCCCATTGTCCAGAGAGGGGGTTGGGCTATGAGGTGTTTCTTCAGCCTGGTGATTTTGGCACTTAGGCGGCCCAATTTTTCATTGTTCAGGACTACCCCACTTATAGGACATTAAGCCTCTCTGGGGCTTCCACCAAGTACCTGCAGTGCCCCCAGGATTGTAACATCCAAACATTCATCCCCACCCACATTCACAAATGACCCCCAAGGGAGGTATTAATAGTTACAACGCTGGTTGAGAATCACTAAAATTAGTTGTTATTTCCATCCCTCTGGCAAGCTTGGGCCCCTTATTCACAATTGACTATCAAGTATTAGTACCACATTTAATAAACAGATTTGTGAAAACATGACTGTGATGCTCACTGGTTTCCTTCTGCTTCGCAGTGCAAATTCGGCCATCGGTCCGAGGATCCCAGCTGCCCTAATGAACGGTACCTTCTGTACAGGGAGTGGGCTCATCCTCGAAGCATATACAAAAAGCAGCCCTTGGATCTTATCAGGTGAGTTGTAGAGAGGATTTCAGTGGGAAGCACTCAGGGGTTGCCCTCAGGGCATCTAAGTGTGACAGTACTCAAGGACTATTGCCACCCAGAGCACTCAGCTTCATTACCCAGAGTTTTCACTGTGGCTTCATTATGTAGGCATGGTTAATTGAATCGTTGCTCGTGTGGCTCAAAGCTCCAGTTGTCTAATCTCATGGTGTTTCTTTCTGGCACGGCCAGCCCCATCTTGAGTCACCTCATCAGCACAGACGATCTAGGGGCCCACCATGCGTCACCTCACTGGCACAATCAGGTGTGGTCCCAGAGGCCCGCCATGAATGGAAAGGCACTCCTGTCTCTCAGGAGATCCCCAGGGTTTAGAGGTTACCTCCTAGGAACTGGAAACAAAGATCGACTTGATTGCATAGATGTAAACTTTAGGTGTAGGTTATTATGTTGTGTGGTAAGACATACACATTTTCACCCTTTTCCTGTTTCATTGTATCTAACGAGATATATAGACTAGCACTCAGGGTTTGTCTTCTCAAAGCTGCCTTCCAGAAGCTTACCTTGTTTGGGCAAGGCTGAGGATACTGGCTGCTGGTGAGAGATAGGCCAATAACAACCAAACAAACAGAAAATATGAGAATAACAAACAAACATAAGATTTCTGATTGCAATGAAGAAAATAACAGAGATAAGGTGGGAGGGCAGCGTGGGGAAGTGAGTTATCTCTAAGTAGGTGACATTGGAGTTGAGACCAGATAGTGAAAAGGTGCTGGTACTTTGAAGGCTTGGAAGACGTCATTCCAGGAGTGGGAGTATCCTGTGCAAGGGCCCTGGGGCACAAGTACACCTGGCAGGTTTGAAGAAGTACTGAAGAGCAGTGCCAATGAGAAAGAGAATGATATGAAGTTAGAGGGCTAATGGGGCACAGAAAGTTGTTTAGATTTTAAGTGCACTGAGAAGCAGTTGTAATATTTTAAGCATTTAAGTAATTTTGTCTTGTTGGAGAGTGTTTTATAGGGAGCACAGGAAGCAGAAAGACTAGGTAGGAGGTTATTCTCACTTTTTTTTTTTTTTTTTTTTTGAGACAGAGTCTCACTCTGTTGCCCTGGCTAGAGTGAGTGCCATGGCGTCAGCCTAGCTCACAGCAGCCTCAAACTCCTGGGCTCAAGTGATCCTTCTGCCTCAGCCTCCCGAGTAGCTGGGACTACAGGCATGCGCCACCATGCCCAGCTAATTTTTTCTATATATTTTTAGTTGGCCGATTAATTTCTTTCTAATTTTAGTAGAGGTGGGGTCTCGCTCTTGCTCAGGCTGGTTTCGAACTCCTGAGCTCAAACAATCCGCCCGCCTCGGCCTCCCAGAGAGCTAGGATTACAGGCGTGAGCCACTGCGCCTGGCCTATTCTCACATTTTTGTGATGATAGTGGGCCAGGCAAGAGATTGTGGGAGCAGATTTGGAACATATTTTTGCAGTAGTGTCAATAGGACTTGGTTATGGATTGGATGTAGAGGATGAGGAGGGGAGAAGAGTCACATGATCCTCACGTCTGCCTGGGGCCAAGTGTCTGTTCTTTCTATGGCATCTCAGCGCCTCATGCAGGTGCCCGCCTGCTTGGGAAAACTACTTGACTTCAAATGTGAGAGTTTTAAAACATGCAAATGGTATGTTCTATTTTGCATTTATCATGGAACATTTCAAACATATATAAAAGTAGAGAGAATAGTATAGCAAGCCTACATTCATCTGTCACTCACCTCCAAAAATTACAAACTCATAGCCAATCTTGTTTCACTTTTAATCCCTCCTCTTCCCTCCTCCCTCTACTGCATCATTTTGAAGCAATCTCAGATATCATTCTATTAGCATCTACTTCTCAATATGGCCAGAATATCCCTTTTTAAAAAGCAACAGTTCCTTAATGTCATCAAATAATCAGTGTTCAGATTTCTCTGATTGTCAAAAAAAAAAAAAAAAAAACCCACTTAGTATTTTTTAGTTCAAATCAGGATCCAAACAAGGTCCAAATGTTACAATTAGTATAATCTCTCAAATTTCATCCACTCCGTGTTTCACTATTTGTTTCTTGTTTTCCTTGCAATTGTTGCAAGAATTCCTTGCATTCTCTATTTTGCAGATTTTATTCTCTCCTGCAGTCTTGTTAAACATGTTCTTCTGTATTTGCTTTAGCTAAGTAATATTTTGATTTGTGTTACCTAATTTCATCCTCATCTAGAAGGTTGATATGATTGAAGTTTGATTTTGTGTAGGAATACTTGATACGTAGAGGGGAGCACTTCTGTGAGAAGGTACATATTGTACAGTTGTCTCTCTTTTTTTGTGATGATAACAGCCATCCACGGTCATTGCTCAGACTCATCATTTCATAAGGGGTTTCATTTCATTATTTCATTTGGTCATTTGGTCATATTCTTAATTCCCTCCTCCTTCATTTTGAATAGCTGGATTACAATCATGAAGAGGCACTTTCATTAACTCTGGTTACCCTGTAGAATAAGATTTTAAAAGAGGATATTTATACATATGTAAATATTTGAGGTTGACATTCTTGTGAAGTTTCCATTTTATTTCATTTCCTTTTATGTTAAACCTACAGCATCTGATGGCAGGGTGATGGGATTGATGGCTTCTTAATCATTCTTTATGTATTTTTTGTCCCTTTGGTAAAGAAAACAATTTCTCCACTATTTTAAATGTATTTTGCTAAGGGAAATACATTTAACTATTCCCTGTCCCTGGTCCCCATGTTCCTGTCCTTCATTGCTTCCCACTAGTAACCCCTTGAGCATCCAGGCTATTAAACCTTCATCTGTAATTCCCAGGGCTTGCCAGAAGGAAAAATGAGCTCTTTTCCGAAAAGCAAACCAAACAAACTGGAAAGAGCAACCTGTAGGAAACAGACTTTGACCAGGAAAAAAAAAAGCTTCCCCCGAAACTCCAATTTTTACCCTCAGAGTGATAAGAAAACAAAAAGCTATGATAGCTACAAGATGAGGACATGACTCTACTAAAAAGGATTGTTGTGAGAAATAAAATCTACCTCTTAGAAATTGATAATGTGATAAAACAGAAAAGGCCCTGTATAAAGTGTTAGAAAATGAAGTTGAAGAAATTTTGCAGAGCATAGAGCAAAAAATATAAAGAGAGAGAAGATAAAAGGCAGAAAAGATAAAAATTAGAAGTTCAGTCCAGGAGGTATAAATAATAGGAGTGTCAGAAACCAGAGAAAACGTAGGAAAGAAATCTGAGAAGTACTTCCAGAGAAGTGTCTGAAGAACCTTACTGAAGAACTAACTGGCATGAGTCTCCAGATGGAAAGAGCCACTGAGTACCCAGCCTAGAGCCACCACATCACTATAACATGACATCTCAGAACACTGGCACCAAAGAGAAGGTCCTGCAAGCCTCCAGAAGGCAAAATGGAAAGAAAATGATATGAAGGACTGAGACTCAGAATAGCATTGTACTTCTCAACAACAACACTGCAAACTAGAAGAAAAGAGAACAATAACTTCAGAGCTCTGAGGGAAGTGATTTTTTCCAACTTACAATTCCATATATGACCAAACTGTTAAGTGTGAGGAGTTTTCACAGTTTAGATGTGCAAGGTAATGGAGGAGGTGCTCCATCAAGAAAGAAGAGGACCTGAGATTTAGCAAATAGGGAATCCCAATGCAAGAGAGAAGGGCAGAGAGCTCCCAGGAGACAGCTCTGTGGCAGGGCTGGAGAGTCATTAATCTAGGTTGGAGGAGGTCTGAAGGGATTTATTCAAGGAGTTGAAATTGATAGACTGCCTCATGGTTTGAGTGAACTGCGAAAGTTATACGTCAGGGGAGAGTCTGGGGTTGAATTGCTGAAGTACACAGAAAACTAAGCAATGAACCATCAAGACAATTACTAACTCCAAGGAGAACAAAGTATCGGGCAGGAAGGAAAAGGTAATCATGGCAGGTGACTTGATTCAGCTGTCATAATAATGTAAAGCGAGGGTATTGACCTAACCAAAAATTATAATGTAACTGTCAAGAGAATGGGAATAGAGAAGTGGATGTGTAGGTGAGGCAGGGGGTTGAAAGCTTGTGAGCCTCATCTTCTAGACTAGAAAGTCGACAGGCGATACACAAAACTGAAAAATTAATGAGCAGCACTTCACGCCAACTATTTAGAGATGTGGAAGTAAATATCCAAAGAATCAGCTATAAGAATTGAAAGTGGCTGCTTCTGGGCAGCAGGAAACAGGAGAGGTGTTTGGGGCATGCTTTTTTAATAATCAGCCTTCTAGAGCCATTTGACTGTTTAATGACTATATACTTACAACTTTGATAAAAAAAAAAATCAAAGCTGACTTTTTTAAAAAAAAAAATTAATATGAAGAATTGGGATGTTTTTGGCAGTGAGAGAGCCAGTGACCGGAGGGATCACATGAATGGATCCTCATTATTCCCAGCCTTTCAGCAAGAACGAGGAGACAGGTTTCCATTTAAGATTTGAAATTTTTTCCGACCTTGCCTACATTGTAACAGGGATGCCTTAGAAAGCAATGAACTCCGTGTCGCTGTAAATATCCAAGCAGAGACTACCTGACCAGCTCTCTAAATGCAGCAGGATATTTTTACTGTGGGGAGGTTGGACCAGGCAACTTCCAAGATTCTTTCCAGTTTTAAAGATGGCATTTCCAGAATGGATGACTGAGGAGAACATATTCCAGAAAGCATAATAGAAAAGAGGCCAAGATGTCTCAAACCCGTTGTCAGGCTTTTTTTCCCCAGACTCTGTCCTGAGCCTGCCATTTGCCTGCCATCCGTAAGCCGGATAACAAAGCTCCAATCACAAGAAAATGAGCACACTTTGTTCTTCCCATCTCCATCTCTGCCCTTCCTTTTCCCTGTGGATGTGGCCTGCGCCCAGGCCCGTGAGCTGTGGAGCTGGTCCAGCCCAGGGCATGGCTGTGGGAAGTCTCCCGGGACTCCCGGTTGTATTCAGAGCTGAGTCCCCACTAGGCTAAGCCCAGGGAGTCAGGCCGAGCGCCATACTGAGCCTAAAGCCTCATATAGGCCCAGGGCTGAGTAAATCTTCTACAGGTTCCACAGACCAAGACTGAGGCAGCAATGAATCAGTCTAGGAAAATATCAGCAACGGCAGTCACCTAAACAATCACTTCATTGTTTCCTTCTCATCCCTAAACGCTTTCTCCTGCCAACTGTATTTGGCCTCCCTTTCAGGAACAATTCTGGCACTGCTTCTTACTCAACCAGCCCTCTTCTAATCTTACCTACCTGGCCTCTTCCCTATTACCCCAGAACATACCATTAATCAATTTTTAAAACTTAGAAAAAATAGAAGTGCTAGATATAAGGAGTATAGGGTAGTAGATTCCTCAATCGTATCCATCTTGCATTCTCCCATTCTTACAATGAGTTTTGTGAAAATTTTGGTCAGAGAGAGATTTCACTATCGATTAGTATTATTACTAGTTTTTTTTTTTATTATTATTACAGTTGACCCTTGAATGACACAGGAGTTTTGAAAACACACATATAACTTTGACTCTCCAAACACTTAATTACCAATAGCCTACCGTTGATGGGAAGCCTTACCAATAACAGCCAATTAACACATATTTTGTATGTTATATGTATTATATACTGTATTCTTACAGTGAAGTAAGCTAGAGAAAAGAAAATGCTAATTAAGAAAATCGTAAGAGAAAATATATTTACTGTTCACTAAGTGGAAGTGGATCATCATATAAAGGTCTTCATCCTTATCGTCTTCATGTTGAATGGGTGGAGGAAGTGGAGGGGTTGGTCTTGCTGTCTCAGGAGTGGCAGGGGAGGTAGAAGAGAGGTCAAGGAGGAAGGCATAACTTCTATTGAAAAAAAAAACCCATATATAAATGGACCCACGCAGTTCAAACCCATGTCGTCCAAGAGTCAACTGTCTTTGTGATTTATGTTAGGTTTCCTCTAAGGAAGCTCCCTAGTTAGGTAAAGTAAGTAACTTTGAGCAGATTGTTCATGTTCATTTGTTCCATGCATGTTAAGAACAATCTTTCAGAGATTGTGTAAAATAGTGCTATCTTCATAAAGAATGATAGTGATACTCTGTATTTGCCTCATATTCAGCATTTTCCTCTCCCTTGCTCTGTTTTGATATACTCTGCTTCAACAGGCAAACTGGTGATAGTGATCAGTACTTCTATGATGTGTAATATACTTTTTGTTTCCTCATAGAATATGAGTTACAGGTATGTTTTAAGGATGAATTGAGTGAGAGGGTTAAGCCAAAAATCTCCTTTATTAAGAAGCAAAAATTAATATTAAGCTGAGGATTCAGAGTGATTATTTTATTTGTATCTTTTAAAAATAATTTCTGTCTTTCTTCAGAAAATACTATGGAGAGAAGATTGGAATCTACTTTGCTTGGCTGGGCTATTATACGCAGATGCTCCTCCTGGCAGCAATCGTGGGAGTGGCTTGCTTTCTCTACGGATATTTTAATCAAGATAACTGTACATGGAGGTAACCCCTGTTTGTTCCTTGTTGCTACGCTGAGAAGTTGATTAGACATAAAATTATTTTCATGATCTTAAACTGTTTTAATAAAAGAAGACTCATCGCAGAACACTCATTGCTTTGGATGATATATCCTTTTGTTCTAAGTGTAATAACTAAGTGAAATGGAAAAAATTTTTCCTTAGATAATCCAACCCAGTCTCTGACAGGAATATTACCCTTAGGAAACACTCCAATATTTTAAAACAATGTTTTGTTTGAAAAAGAAAGGAGGCCTGGAGGGAGGATTGCCCTTGAACTTTTGGCCCCCAGAGGAATGTTCTCTCAGCCTTGCAGATGTGGGCCAAGAGCAGCTCTGATTTCTTCAGGGTTTCAAAGGGAAAACTGGGAAAACTGGTATTTTTTTTTCCTTTTAGAAATGATTTCTTAATATAAAGAAATGCATGTCTAAAAACTCAAGTAGACAATGGTTGGTTTGGTTTTTACTTTTTTTATTAAAAAAAACTAGTCCTTATAATGTTAAGGGGAAAAAAAAGTAACAGAGAATTACTTTGTGCTTGATGTTGAAATTCAGACACCAGCTGCACTATCTAAAGGGACGTACGTGGGTGCCAGAGCTCTCTGAATTTCACCATCGCTATTCTGAATTGCATTATTATTCCTCTGCTTTTGGTGGTCTCAACCTCCAGAAGGGATGCAGCACTGAACCAGGCATTTTCTCTTGTTCATCTGGCCCCTATCCAGGTGTGACAGCCAGATCAAAATTTCTGGGCACCAGCAGTGAGCTGATGACCAAATTTGTCAAGCCCCAAGCATATTAGCCTGCTCCCAGGGCAGGATGCTTACATGGCAGCCCTGATGTAAAGACATAATTACCCATTCTATTTAACAGAGGATTCTGAGCATTTTGTACCCATTATGGCTTTTTAGCTAGAAAGCTGCAGATGGTTTCTGAAGTACTTTCCCCTCTTCACTGAAAGAGTTTTGGGCCAGAGGCTGAATGTTGGTGCCTTCCCCTAAATTTGCCTTTGGTTTCTCCATTGTTTTGTATATTGTTCCAGACCAAAAAAAGAAAAAAGGCATCTCAAAAATACATTTTCATGGTGCAAAAGCAGCATTTTTGTAACTCATATGGTTCTTCTCATTATAACTCATTTTATGAAATAACTGTGATAGTCACCCACATATTTCCTACCATTTCCCACAGATTAGCTTACAGAAAACTGAAGGTAGGTCTTGGAGATATACTCTCTGTGCTCAAAACTATTTGGCTTTAATTATTTAATTATTAAATATCTTTAAAATGTTTAGAATATATAAATTTTAAATATTTTCAGTTTTATTACACATTAAACAGATTCATAAGAATAGAAAATGTATTTAAGGTATAAGGAATAATGATCCATCACCCAATTTAAGGAAAAGAATGTTATTGTTACCTTTGAAGTAACAGTACTTTGATCGCGTCTCCTCCGCTTTGAAATAACAGCTGTACTAAATTTTGTGTTTATCATTTATTTACATATACTGTATTTTTATTACATATATTTGTAGCCCAACAAAATATATTTAGTTTTGTGTTTTTGAAAATACGTATACATAAGTGGAGGATATTATAGGTATTTCTTCCTCTATAAAATGCCTGTTTAAAGCTTATGCCTCCCTTTTTAGATAGCAGCTTTATTGAGATATAATTTGTATACTGTAACATGCATTCCTTTAAAGTGTATAATTTGGGTGTTTTGAGTACATTCACAGAGTTGTGCAGCCGTCACCACCATCTAATTTTAGAACATTTTCATTGCCTCCAAAAGAAACCAGTGCCCATTAGCAGTCACTCTCTAACCCGCTTTCCTGTACCTCCTCACAACCACTAATGTACTTTCTGTTTTTATGGATTTGCCTATTCCAGACATTTCATAAAAGTGGAAATATACAGTATGAAGCTTTTTGTGACTGTCTTCTTTCACTTAGCATGTTTTCAAGGTTTATCCATGTTGTAGCATGTATCAGTTCTTCATTCCTTTTTATGGCCAAGTAATATTCCATTGCATGTATATACCAATTGTTTATCTATTCATCAGTTGATGGACATTTGGGTTGTTTCTACTTTTTGGCCGTTGTGAATAATTCTGCTATGAATATTCATGGACAAGTTTTTTTGGGGATATATGTTTCAGAACTCTTGAAAATATAACAAAGAATGGAATTACTGGGATATATGGTAACTCTAGGTTTATCATTTTGAGGAACTGCCAAAGTATTTTCTAAATTGGCTGCACCATTTTACATTCCCACCAGCCATGTATGAGGATTTCAATTTCTCCACATCCTCGTCAACACCTTTTTTTTTTTTAATATTAGCCATACTAGTTGGTATGACGTGGTATGTCATTGCAGTTTTGATTTTTATTTCCCTAATGCCTACTGATGTTGAGCATCTTTTTATGTGTATATTTGTCATTTGTATAGCTTCTTTGGAAAAACGTGTTCAAATCCTTTGCTTATTATGTTGTCTTTTTATGGCTATAAGTGTTCTTTATATATTTGGGATAGAAGTCCCTTAGTGGATATTGTCTTAGTCCATTTGTGCTATGACAGAATACCACAGACAGGGTAACTTGTAAAGAACAGACATTGATTTCTCACAGTTACGGAGACTGGAAGTCCAAGATCAAGGCACCAGCATTTGGTGTCTGGGGAGGGCTGCATCGTCTGGAGGGGAGGAACACTGTGTTTTTACATGGCAGAAGGCAGAAGGGTAAGAGGGGCAAACTCCCTTGATAAACCACTTTTATAAGGCCACCTGATCCCATTCCACAAGCAAAGAGCTCCCATGGCCTAATTACCTTTTAAAGGCTCCACCTCTTAATACTTTCACACTGGCAACACCTGAATTTTGGAGGAGACACAGTCAAACCATAGCAAATGTAGTGAAAATATTTTTTCTCCTTCTTTGGATTGTTTTTTCCCCTTTCTTAATGATACCTTGTGAAACAAAATAATTTTTAATTTTGATGACACCCAAGTTACTTACTTTATTTTGTTATCTGTGCTTTTGGTGTCATAGCTAAAAAAAAAAAACAATATATAATCCAAAGTCATGAAGATTTTTTCAGTGTTCATCCTTTAACAGTATTATAGTTTTAGGTCTGTGATTTATTTTGAGTTAATTTTTGTAAATGGTATGAAGTAAGGGCCCAACTCGGTCATTTCCCAAGTCTATATCGAGGTGTACCAGCACCGTTTTGAAGAGACTGTTCTTTTGCTGTGAATTATCATGGTGCCCTTATTGAAAATCAGTTGGCCATAAGTGTAAGTTTGTTTACTCTCAGTCCTTTTCCATTGATCTACATGTCTGTACTTTATGCAAGTACCACACTATATTGATTACTGTAGCTTTGTATTAATAGTTTAGAAACTGGAAACTTGTTCTTCTTTTTCGAGATTGTTTTAGCTATTCTGGGTCCTTTGCATTTCCATCTGAATTTTAGGATCAGATTGTTTCTGCAAAACATCCAGCTGGGATTTTGATAGGAATTGTGTTGACTCCAAAGGTCAGTTTGGACAGCATTGACATCTTAACAGTATTAAGTCCTCTAATCCATGAACACGGATTGTCTTTCCATTTATTTAGGTCTTTTTTAATTTCTATCAACAATATTTTGTAGTTTTTAGTATATAAGTCTTGTACTTCTTTTTTTAATGTTTATTCAAAATATTTTATTCTTTTTAATACTATTATAAATGAAATTGTTTCCTTAATTTTTGGATTATTTATTCCTGGTATATAGAAATATAATTGCTTTTTGTATGTTGATTTTTTTGTACTGCAACCTGGCTGAACCGGCTTATTTGCTCTAATAGTTTTTTGGTAGATTCCTTAGGATTTTTATGTACAATGTCATGCCATCTGTGAATAGAAGTAGTTTTATTTCTTCCTTCCCAATCTGGAGGCCTTTTATTTATTTTTCTTGCCTAGATGTCCTGGCTAGAAGCTCTAGTACAATGTTGATCTTATGAGGAAAGCATTCAGTCTTTCACCACTAAGTATGATGTTAGCTATGAAATTTTCATTAATGCTCTTTATCAGGTTGGGAAAGTTTTCTTCTATTCTTAGATATTGAGTGTTTTTATTATGAAAGGGTTTTGGATTTTACAAGATGCTCTTTATCTATTGACTTTATCCTGTGTGTGATTTTTGTTCATTATTCTATTAATGTGGTGTATTATATGGATTGATTTTTTTGGTTGTTGAATCACACTTGTATTCCTGGATACATCCTACTTGATCATGGTGTATAATACTTTTTATATGTTGCTGGATCTGTTTTGCTAGTGTTTCGTTGAGGATTTTAGCATCTGTATTCATAAGAGGTAATGAGTCTGTAGTTTTCTTATGTTGTCTTTGGTTTTGGTATCAGTGGTATACTAGTCCCATAGAATGAGTTGAGAAATATTTCCTTCTCTTTAATTTTAGGAGAGTTTATGAAGCATTGGTGTTACTTCTCCTCTAAATGGTTGATAGAATTCACCAGTGGAGCCATCTGGGCCTGGGATTTTCTTTGCAGGAATTTTTCCTACCAGTTCAATCTCTTTATTTGTTACAGGTTTATTCAGGTTTTCTGTTTCTTCTTAAGTCAGCTTCAGTAGTTCATATCTTTCTAGGAATTTATCCATTTTGTAATGGCAACAGTAATGTCCCCCTCTTCATTTCTGATTTTAATAATTCGAGTCTTCTTTTTTCTTGATAGGTCTAGCTAAAAGTTTGCCAATTGCATTGATCTTTTCAAAGAACCAACTTTGTTTGTTGATTTTCTGTTTTTCTATTCTCTATTTGATTTATTCTACTTTTTGCCTTTTGATTGGAGTGTTCATTTACTTTTAATGTAATTATTCGTAAAGTAGGAGTTGCATGTGCCATTTTGCTGTTTGTTTTTCCATATTTTTTTTTTGTCTTTTGTTTCTCTGTTTGTCTATTATACTTTTTTTGTGTTTTAAATATTTCTAGTGTAGCATTTTAATTTCATTATTGCTTCTACCCTATTTTTTCGATGGTTGCCCTGGGATTTTTTTAAACAATCTAGTCTGGATTAATGCAAATTTAATTTCAATAGTATACAAAAACTTTACTTTGGTATAGTCCATTCCCTCTCCCTTCGTTTGTGCTGTTATTGTCATGCAAATTACAACTTTATGCATTATAAGCCCATGAACACAGTTTTATAATTATGGCTTTGTGCAAGTTGTCTTTTAAATCAAATAGAATAGTTACGTACAAAAATATATTCATACTGGTTTTTTTATATTTATTGTTATAGTCACATCTACCAGTGCTTTTTATTTCTTTAGGTGGATTTGAGTTACTCTCAGGTGTGTGTGTAAGCCTGAAGGACTCTTCTTAGTATAGGTTAAGTATCTATCCAATGAGCATTTTCTTTGAGCATAATGTCAACACTCAAAAAGTTTCAGATTTTGGAGCATTTTGGATTAGAATGCTCAACCTGTATTTCTAGTAGAGCAAGTCTCTGCTAGCAACAGATTCTTTCAGATTTTGTTTATCTGGGGATGTCTTAATATCTCCATTCTTGAAGGTTGATTTTGCCAAATATAGAGTACTTGGTCTTTCAGCACTTTGAATATATCATCCCACTGCCTCTGCCCTCCTTAGTTTCTGATAAGAAGTCAGTTATAAATCTTCCTGAGGAACGTTTGTACGTGATGAGTCACTTTTCTCTTTCTGCTGTTGTGATTCTTTGCCTTGACTCTTTGTCTTTTGACATTTTGAGTATGATGTTGTTAGGTTTGGATCTCTTTGAGTTTATCCTACTTGGAATTCGTCGAGCTTCCTGGATGTACAGATTAGTGTTTTCATCAAATTTGGGATGTTTTCAGCCATTCATTCTTCAAATATTTTTTCTGTTTCTCCTTTTCTTCTGGGACTTCTATTATGTATATGTTGGTATGTTTGATGGTGTTCCACTAATCTCTGAGGCTGTGTTCATTAGTCTTCATTCTTTTTTCTTTCCATTTCTCAGGCTGGATAATCTTAATAGATCTAGGTTTACATTTGCTCATTCTTTTGCCATTTCCTATCTGCAGAGGGAGGCCCTCTAGTGCATTTTTTAATTTCAGTTATTGTACTTTGCTTCTCTAGAATTTCTAATTGGTTCTTTTTAATAATTTCTATCTCTTTATCGATACTCTCAATATGGTGAGACACTATTCACATACTGTCCTTTAATTCTTTAGATATGGTTTCCTTTAGTTCATCAAATATGTATAATTGCTAATTTAAAGTCTTTGTCTAATAAGTGCAATATCTGGGTGTCCTCAGGAACAGTTTTTATTGACTGCTTTTTCCCCCTGTATTAGGGCCATACTTTTCTGTTTCTTGGTATATCTAGGGATCTTATGTTGAGAAATGGGCATTTTAAATATTATAATTTAGTATATCTAGAAATCAGATTTTCCCCTCTTCAGGGTCTGTTGTTACTTGTGTTTGTGGTTGTCACTGCTGCTGCTGCTCTTTGTTCAGTTACTGTCCTGAACTAATTCTGTAAAATCTCTATTCTTTGTCATGTGTGGCCTGGCCATTGAAGTCAGTGTTCAGTAAGTTTGGTTATTAGCTAATGATTGAATTAGCTAGTGATCTCATTTAATGCCTGGGACCAGTAATTTTCTTTTCTCTGCCTTTGCCAAGAGGCTCTGTGTGAGTGTGTGGGGGGAATGTATTTAGCACCCTAGCAGGCAGTTCTCAGCTCTTCCTTAGCCTTTTCTTCTTGCTTATACAAAACTTCAATGTCAGTGAGAGGTGAGGCATTAAGGTGTTCGCAGGTCTTTCCTGGCCATGTGCACTATCCTATACATGCACATGGCCTTGTTTAAACTCGGGAATATATTGGGGCTTTTTAAAGCCCCCATGGACATCTCATTTCCTAATTTTTTCTTTTAAGTCTTTTGATTAACCTCTTGTTAACCTCTACTGGTATCACTGTCTAAGGCATCTACAGTGTTAAATAATTCCTGCCAGTTGCTTTCAACAGATGCTTCGGTGATAGGGCTGTTTGCATAGTATGAGCTTTGAATGTGAGGTTAAAAAATGGCAAATCCTGAGCGTGAAGCTTTTCCAGGGAGGTAGACAGTCCTTTAATGGTGTCTTTTAATGCCATTCTCACTTTTAAAACATCTTGAACATATCAGTGTTTTTCTTTATGGTTTGTGCTTTTTAATTTCTTATTTATGAAATGTCTCCTTACTCTGAGGTTACCTAGATATTTCTTTTTCTGATAAGTTGGTACTGTTGGCATTTTCATTTTCCACCTGGAATTGATTTGCATATGGTATGATTAGGGGTTCAATTTTATGTTTTTCCATATGGATAGCCTGTTGTACCAGCCGCATTTATTGATATTCTCACCTTGCTAATTTGCTTGGCCAGCTCTGCCATAGGTCTGTTTTTGAATAGGCAAAGGTCTGTTTCCAAACTCTTTAGTTTGTCCTGTTGGTCAGTTTTTCTTAACCTGTGCCATAATGCCTTATTCTTCAAAAGTGTTTCGACTGTGCCAAGCCTTTGTTCTCCCACTGAATTTATAGCTCAAATGGGAGAGAACTGACATCTTTAAATATTGATTCTTCCAAATTATGAATATGATAGTATAGGTCTTCTTTACTGTCTTTCAGAAAAGTTCTATAATTTTATCCATGTAAATCTTAACATATCTTAAATTAGATTTATTCCTAGAAATATTATTTTTAAGCTATTGAAAATGGTATTTTTAAGAAATTATTTCCTAATTGTTACAGGTGGTTGGGGACACAATTCGTTTTTGTGTCCTGTGTATATTTTGTATTTTGATTTTGTGTCCGGCAAACTTTACTAAATTCATTAATTCTAATAATTTATCTTTTGGTTCTGTTGAGTCATCTATATATACAATCATGTAATCTGCCAGTAATAACAGTTTTCTTTCTTTCTAGCCAATCCTCATGGATTTATTTTTCTTGACTTACTATGTTGGCAGGGACCTCCTACTAAAAAGAAGTGATAGCAGGACCTTTCGTCTTATGCTTGATCTAAGGGAAACACTTTCAGCATTTTATCTTTAAGTATGATTTTTTATAGGTTTTATGTAGCAATCCTTTATCAGGTTAATGAAGTCCACTTATGTTCCTAGTATTATAAGAATTTAGTTTTTTTATCATGCATGGATATTGGATTTTATCGTGCTGCTTTAAACTAATTAAATTTTTTATAATTAAGTTTTATTTCTCTCTTTAGCAAAGAAGTTTGTAATCCTGATATTGGCGGCAAGATTATAATGTGTCCTCAATGTGATAGGCTTTGTCCATTCTGGAAACTCAATATTACTTGCGAGTCCTCAAAGGTAATTTTTGTTATTCCAAATTGTTACACATATTAAAACCTTTTCTTCTTCTTATAATTTAGGTATAACATAGAAATTGTATCTTATTTCCTCTGAGAAATTCAGAAAGGTATTTTTCAACTAAACTACCAAACATTCTGGATGGTAGTTATACAATGAATGTGTTTATTCCTTCTATAAATAATGAATTGAGATTAAAAGCCTTATTTAAAATCTCATGGAGGGTCAGTGAGGAAATGGTAGAATTGAAATCCTTTATTTCAAGTAATCAAAGCAGAAATCTCAAACCCAGTTTAATTTATGAATACTTCTTAATAGAGTTACTATTAATGTTACAGGTTGAGTATTCCTTAATCTGAAATGCTTAGGACCAGAAGTATTTCGCAATTTGGGGTTTTTTCAGATTTTGGAATGTTTGCATTGTACTTACCAGTTGGGCACCTCTAATCCAAAAGTCTGGAATTTGAAATGCTCCTACAAACATTTCTTTTGAACGTTATGCCAATGCTCAAAAGGTTTTGGATGATTTTGCTGCATTTCAGATTTCAGATTTTTGGGTTATGGATACTCAATCTGTATAAGTATTTTCCTTAATTCAGGTGAGTAGAAATTTGAAATTTGTACTTGTGTTTTCCCCCTTTCAAAGCGGCTGAAACTATGCTTGGATTTTTAAAGACCCTGCTGGTCAGATTTAGACTATATCTATAAATATGCATAAGAAAGATTTTGTATGTAAGCGGTAAAAGATATTTGTCTCAAAACATTCCCACAAAACACATCTGGCTTTTCTTATACAAGCAGATGGTCTTGAGCTCTATGACTTCTTAAAATCCAGGGGGTTTAGAATAAGCATTGAAAAGGGAGGGAGCTTACTGAAAGCAGGCTGGAAACTCTAGACAGGAAGAAAGATGATCAGCTTACTTCAGAGCATTTTCCTGACAACTCAGACATACTATTCCCTTTTGTTATTAATATGGTCTTCTCTCTACACCCTTGTTCTGCCATGAGAGGTTAGGAATCCTTATATGGCCTTAGAACATTCTGATCTACTCCATGTAAGTCTGATTTTTAACTGAATGTATTGCTGTTATAGGGATGCCACTTTATATTTTATACTTTGCAAAGTTCTTATAATTACCAGTTTTGACACACAACTCTGTGAGATAGTCGGAACAGGCATTTTCTCTGTTTTACAGATTAAAATACTGAGGCTCTGAGAGATTAAATAATGTTATCAAGGTCACCCACCTAGTAACTGGCAAAGCCAGAAATTTACCACAAATCCACATTCCTTGGCATTACCATTCTCCTCACTGGCTGACAGTGGTACCAGGCACCTCACTGTCAAATCCAGCTCTATGTTTGAAAAATTGTTCACCACTTAGGTAAGCTGATTGCAGGATGTGGTCAACACATGGATGTTTATACTTAATTTATGAATTAAAATATATTTCATTGCCTCCTTCCCCAAACCGACAGATTCTACACTATGAATATCTGTTGTAGATCACACAAAGTAAAAGACTAACAAAGAAGTTAGGAAGAGGGAAGCCGCCTTCCAGTGATGGTGGCTCGTAGCTTAAAGATCACCAGTTAACACACTTCCCTGAGGCATTGGATTTAGGGTAAATGCCAATGATAATACCAAAGACAAATTTTACTCCACAAAAGTACGAGTGGAGATCCCATTTTCCTTAAGAAGTTCTCTCCTTGGCACTCCCTAGCCCCACCTTGTCTCTCTCGTTTCTTCTACTCCACCTACCCATCCTCAAGCACGTGACTTTCAAATATGTCCTGGTGTACATTTCATTTTGGTAAAAACAAATCTTCGATTCTATTCTAGTTTCCTGAAGGATCCCTTGAGTCTTGTCAGAGTGATTTACAAAGGGAAGGGAACATAGAGTATAAGGATGAAATGGAAAAATAAAGTTTAAGAGAAAAGAGCACTTTTTCTGGCTTTTCTATTTGTTGGTTAATTTCATTATTTCTTCCTTCTTTCATACGTTTATTTATATATTCATTTCTACCGTTTTCTTTCGAAAAGAAATAGAGTACTCACTAATTCGCATGTATGCTAAAAGAGTTAAAAAATTAGAAATAGAAAGATGATTTCAGGACCAAGGAAATGAAGAAACAATTATGCAGATAATGGGGATTGATACTGTTTTTGTGATTGAGAATTGAATAAGGGTCTTAGCTTTCTGGATGGGAAGATAAAAGGGAAACATCATAAGTTGTAATATTTTGTTCTTAAAAACACATTAAGTTATAAAATTCTGATTTTGCTTCTTTGCAGGAGGAAAGCATAACAAATGGTCATTTTTTTTTCAAGATTCTGATTGGTTTCTCTGATTGAAATCATCATGCCTACATATGCAGCTTTCTTCTTTCCTGCACCATGTGACTAAAGCAGTATGCTAACTCAGGGCTCCTCTTAACACAGCCAGCTGTCTTGTCCTTTCTCTGCCATCCTGCCAAGAAAGCCAAGCCAGCCTTCTTACCAAGAAAGCCCCTTGCTTACCTTCTCCCCTAATTCCTACTTCCATGTAGCTCATGGAACACAGAGCAGAGAAGCCAGCCATATTTATTCTTTCTCTTGGGATCTTGACTCTCACACATGTGGCAAGAATGCTGACTTCATCCAGGCCTAACTTCTCATAGGAGCATAAAGCATGACCTTTGCATTGAGCTAGGCAGTTGGGGTGATCTCGTCATTGGCAGTAAACCTACTCTTTCTCACTGCTTCTGTTTTCTTTCTAGCACCGGCAGGTGTGTTTCCACTGACTTTTTATCAAAAGAGTAGAGCTAAGAATAGGATTCTTTCTGTCTGGGGTGGGTGGGCAGAGGCATCAGCACAAATAGGATGGTATCAGAGAGAGAGGCTTCCATTGATTCCTAAAACAGGAGTGGCATTGGACAGAATCTTCAATAATAATAGCATTATAACATGCAGAACTATTTTTCATAGGACTTTTCTTATAACAACTTGTAATAAAGGCTAAGGTGTAACATTAAAAGATAAGTTGGTGAAGATGGTTCCATAGGAGTCAAAGCTAAAAGGTTTGACATACGTGGTCTCTGGAGTCCCAGGACTAGAGGAGTAGGTGGAGAGCATTGTACCCCAGAACAGTCACACATTTATTAATTCTGTCTCCCTTGAACAGGATTTTTGAGAAGAATAATTGGATGATAGACAATTTGGGGTGGTGCTTTCCGATCAAGGTCCATGTGGATGATTGAGGGGATATCTATATGCTTTGGAAACAGATGGATGACAAGGTGGCTAGGTGGATATTCTTTCATAAAAATAACATAACTGAAGTGATTACATAGATGAAAGCTCACCCACTTCATATGAGTCTAAAGGGGAACCTAAAAAAATTATCTAAAACAAAGTAGATTTCCTACTTAGAAGTAGCTTTGCATTTTCTTTAGCACTTGGTTTGCTTTTTCTATTTGTAGCTTCTTTTTCTACCCCATCCTTGTCTTCTTTATAGTTCATGTGACCTGTCATAAAGTAGACATATGCTTGCCACTTTTTCCATTATCTTTATGGATCTCTTTGTAGGAAATTAAAAATGCTCACTAACAAAAAATTAGTGTTAATTTTTTCCTAAAAGAATTTCCAGGAAATCATAGAGATAGGCCACTTACATACTAGCAAAGAGATAAAAACTTAGTAGAACTAGTGAATAGAGCCTTCTTTGGCCAGATATGTTATTTATGATTCATGATCATTGTACTAATTGTAATATTAGCAAAAGCACCTGTGCATCCTTAATTCCAATGGAAGCATCTGTCAAGGACAGTAGAAAAGCCATTATTGGGTTTGAAGAAACAGCTCTCTTGGAGTCTGAGGGTTGAACTTCTCTTAACAGGAAAAGCAGGAATTCTGGAATTTACCCTCTGACCTGATAAGATGTAAATCTTAAATCTAGAAGTTGCCTTGAGGTCATTGTATTTTTAGAGCCATGCTCCTTCCTCCAATTCACTGTGACAGCTCATAAAAAGAGGCTGTGATTCAAGCCTGATAGAAGCTTTAGACTGAATGGAATTTTAGCAGCTATACCTATTTCTTTATCCCAATATGGAAAGTTCCATTGGAAAATGCACCCTGGTTAATATAGCACTGGAGAGAGTGAGAAATGACATCTATGAGTATGTAGTAGATATGGTGATTGTTAAACTAGGTATCAGCTTTAAAAAGAATTTCAGACTGTAGAATATACAAAACATTTCGTATTTACTGAATTCTAATAAGTGGAGAACATGATTCATTTAAATGTCATTATTATATTTTCCAGAAATTGTGCATCTTTGACAGTTTTGGAACCCTGGTCTTTGCAGTATTTATGGGGGTATGGGGTAAGTTATTTTTATTTTTTTCATGCACTCAATTGAATAGTATTATACAGTTTTATGTAGGATATCAAAGTAACCCACTTTTAGGGCCTTGGATTGCCCAAGCTTCAACTCCCCTAGAACCCCATTTATAACTCTGAGGACATTGTATCCATTAGTTCTTACTAGCTAACTAGGTAATATAAAAACCTACCTCACAATATAATGGCTTCAAACAACAAACCTGATTTCTCATATTTATTATTTCTCATCATTCTCTGGGTCAGCGGAGAGGTTCTTCAGGCACGGGCTGGCTCACTGATCTCTGCAGTGAGCTGGCAGCCCCCCTGGGGCTAGGTAGTCGGCATTTGAAAGCCTGGGTTGGTCTGTGGGACTCAGCCGGGCAGACTTGACTTTCCTCCACATAGGCTCTCATCCTCCAGTGTGCTAGCCCAAGATTCTTCACATGGTTTCAGGGTTCCAAAGAGAAGCAAGAGAGGACAAGCTCCAATGCACAGACATTTTTAAGCCTGTGGTTGTATCAAGTTCTCTAATGTCCATCAGCTAAAGTAAGTCATGGCCAAGCCAGCATCAATGTGGAGAGGTGGGAGTACTGCCCAATGGCTTGGATCCAAGAGCCATGATTCATTGGAAGCCATTATTGCAACAGTCCCCACAGCTGTGATCCAACCTGACTTTTGTGGGGGTGGGGGTGGGGAGAAAGCAGGAACACAGTGATTCTGGGTGAGCTTTCTTCTTTGTACACATCTATACGAGTAAATATTTGATAAGTATGTGCTACTCTTATAATAATAACAACTTGTATTTACTAAGTAGAGCAGATATAATTCCTATATAGGAGCTTTAACATTATATATATTATTTGTATAGCATCATTAATGTAATGAAGCAATTATCATTTTCTCTAAATGCAGCCTTTTAAATATTTAATTGATGTAAATATTCCAACAGCGAAGAAAAAATTTCCATTTTCAAAAATAAGTATATTCCCAATTTCATTGTGTAAGTCTGGGGAACAACAGAGTTCAGGTTATAGGAAGGTGGAGGAAGAAACTGAATCGAGCCTCTTGTTCTTGAGAGGACAACACATCAACACATGTAACTCACGGAGACAGTTGTTTAGGTGTCCTCCACGCTGTTTTTCTTTGGCAGTGGTTGTGCCTATGGGTCACCACATGGATCACAGAACAGACAATCCAATTATTTCATACAGTTTTTTCAGAGTTATTAGTTGCCGCTCCTGGATAAAGTGCACTGTAAGGTAGCAAGGCTTTCCGATAAGTTACATTGGCATTCAGCATTGAGCATGCATTGGCTGGAAACCAGACTCTGGCCTAATACCTGACACACAGGAGAATAAAGATCAAATGTATGTATTAAGATCCTCTGTACTCTTCCATTGTAAAATACATAATTTTTTTTTTTCCAGTAAGAGCTCAGGTGCTGAACACATGAGTCAGCACTTTTAACTATTAACTGTACTCAGTGCTGATTTGTAATCTGTAAAATTCTATAATAACACATCTATTGAACTCTGTATACTAATGGATGCTGATAGCCCTAATTAAAGAAGGTATTTGAAATAAAGCAAAAATATATATAAATTCTGACACTGGAAAGGCAGACCTCAAATTTCCTAGCTAATTTTCCCTTCTCTGATCATAACACTGTGTTTATAGAACTGATATATGTATTGGAAGCTGCTTTTATTTCATTTGATTTTAGAATGCAGAAAACATTTCATTACTGCTTGTGGCATCATATGTATATCTTTAAGGATATGTATGTATGAGAAATGTTTTATTTTAAGTGCTTTATGTTGCTTTCCTTGTTACTTCTGCCTTATGAGAGCTACTGCTAGGAACCAAGTAACAGAAAGTAGGAAATTGAAAAACTGAACAGGCAGAAGGCTCATGTGAAATTATTCATATCACCATCGTCATATTCCTATAGCATCTCTTTTGTGTCCAGATGTATATGGCACTTATTTTTCTGCTTCCTAGAAATTATAAAAGTTCACATGCTCAGATTAGAAAACCTTTTATAATGAATATAATACAAGTCATATACTTATCTGAAAAATATGCACCCTTTTAGGTCAAGGCAGCCCACCCATTCAAACTGACTCGTAGAATCATAAATACCAACCCGTGGTTGAAGTAAAGGTTCTGAACACACCCTGCCCTCCTTGTTCCTTGACTACTTCCACCTGATTTCTCTGGCCCAGATGCTTGGCTGCATGACTGTAATTTTTAATTTTCACCTTTATGGGTGAGTTCTAAACTAGGCCTAGTGATTTCCATAAAAACACCAATCACCTGGCTCACTAAGTTGGGGTTCCGGAAGCCTGTCCAGCTGCAATTAGGGAATCAGGAAACAGCTGTTGTAACTGTTATTTCTAGACCTGCACTGCTCTTGCTGGATCTGCACCAGCAAAATAATGCAGCACCTACGCCCACCACCATGGTCTCCATTCAACTCAGTTTCTGACTTAATGACACACAGATGCATCTGATGGGCATTCTAAAAATCACATCTGGAACCCTAGCTGCAAGAGAGTCTGAGAAATATAGTTTTTTACCTTCTAGCCTTTGAGTTAGGAAGTTGCTATAAAGGCTGAGCAAGCTAATCTATCTTATCTTCCTTTGTGAGTAAAGAGGTCTGAATAGTTTCAAAGCCTATTAAAACATTTCAGACCTTCAACAGCAAACTCATAGCAACCAGAACACTCCCATCTATCAGAGTGTGTCTCTTGTCCCTAGACATTGCAGGATATAACACCACCAGCACTTTACTGCTCTGAGACCCTGTTTTTGTATACAGGCATCTCCTTCATCTGATGCATGGTTTCTTTAGATGTAATAATATCATGATTATTCCAATCATGGCAATTTCTTAAAATAAGACAACAATGAATATTGCCACATAGATGGACTCTTCCTTTCACAAAAGATTCCTCTATCCCGTGTGATGCTGTTTGATAGCATTTTACCCACAGGAGAACTTCTTTCATAATTGGACTCAGTCCTCTCAAACCTTGCCACTGCTTTATCAACTAATTTTATGTAACATTCTAAATCCTTTGTTGTTATTTCAACAATGTTCACAGCATCTTTACCAGGAGTATATTCCATCTCAAGAAACAAATTCCTCTGCTCATCTAGAAGAAGCAACTCTTCAAGTTTTATCATGAGATTGCAGCAATTCAATCACATCTTCAGGCTCCACTTATAATTCTAGTTCTCTTGCTATTTCTGCCACATGTGCAGTTACCTCCTCCATGGAAGTCTCGAATCCCTTGAAGTCATTCGTGAGGGTTGGAATCAACTTTCTTCCAGAGTCCTGTTAATGTCGATATCTTGACCTCCTCTCATGAATCACAAATATTCTCAACAGCATCTAGAATAATTAATCCTTTCCAGAGGTTTTCAATTTACTTTGCTGAGATCCATCAGAGGAATCTCTATCTGTAACAGCTATAGGCTTACAAAATGTGTTTCTTAAATAATAAGACTTGAAATTGAAATGACTCCTTGATCCATGGGCTAGAATGGATGTTCTGTTTGCAGCATGAAAAATACTTTCATCTCCTTGTATATCTCCATCAGAGCTCTTGGGTTTCTAGGTGCATTGTCAATGAACAGTAATATTTTGAAAGGAATCTTTTTTTTCTCAGCAGTTGGTCTCAACAGTGGGCTTAAAATATTCAGTACGCCATGATGTAAACAGATGTGCTGTCATCCAAGCTTGGTTGTTCCATTTATAGAGCACAGGTGGAGTAGATTTAGCATAATTCTTAAGGGCCTTGGGATTTGGGGAATGGCAAATGAGTATTGGCTTCAACATAAAGTCACCAGCTGCATTAGCCCCTAACAAGAGAGTCAGCCTGTCCTTTGAAGCTTTGAAGCCAGGCATTGACTTATCCTCTCTAGCTATTAAAGTCCTAGATAGCATCTTCTTCCGATAGAAGGCTGTTTTGTTTACACTGAAAATCTGTTGTTTACTGTAGCCATCTTCTTAGCTAGATCTTCTGGATAACTTGCTACAACTTCATCAGCATTTGCTACTTCACCTTGTACTTTTATGTTATAGAGTTGGCTTCTTTCCTTAAACCTCATGCGTCAATCCGTGCTACCTTCATCCTTTTCTTCTGCAGCTTTCTAACTTCTCTCAGCCTTCACAGAATTGAAGAGACTTAGGGCCTTGCTTTGGCTTAAAGGAATGTTGTAGCTGGTTTGATATTCTATCCAGACCACTAATACTTTCTCCATATTTATTATAAAGTTGTTTTGCTTTCTCATCACTCATGTGTTCACTGGAGTAGCACTTTTAATTTCCTTCAAGAACTTTTCCTTTGCATTCGCAACTTGGCTATTGGTGCAAGAAGCCAAGCTTTTGTCCTGTCTTGGCTTTCAACATGCTTACCTGACTAAATCATTCAAATTTTGATACAAAGTGAGAGATGTGCAACTCTTCCTTTCACTTGAACACTTTGAGGCCATTGTAGGATATTTACTTGGCCTAATTCCAACATTATTGTGCCTCAGGGAATAGGAAGGCCCGAGGAGAGGGAGAGATATATATAGCGGAATGGAGCAGTCAGAACACACACAACATTTATTGATTAAGTTCGTGGTCTTATATGGGCATGCTTTATGGTGCCCCAAAGGTATTACAATAGTAACATCAAAGACCACAGATCACCATAACAGATATAGTAATAAAAATGTTTGAAATGTTGTGAGAATTACCATGTCTCTGTGACACAGAGACATGAAGTGAGCATATGCTGTTGGAAAAATGGCTCCAGTAGACTTGCTCGACACAGCATTGCCACAAATCTTCAGTCTGCAAAAAAACAAACAAAAACACAGTATCTGCGAAGTGCAATGAAACAGAGTATGCCTGTGCAGAGTACTGAGGGCCCAAGTAGACTGGTGTAGCAGAGAGTGGTGGAGAGTGGATGGTCATGCTGGAGGGGAGCAGTTGGAGCCAGCTGGGACCTCTGAGCGGTTGTTTCCCCAGGTGGTGGGAGTCCTCCAGGTTCTGGCATGGTGTCCTTCAATTCATTTATTCAGTGCATTTATGCATTAAGTGCCTGCTATCTGCTAGTGCTTCAGCTGTGAATAAAACAAAATCCTGGCCCTCGTGAAGATGACATTCTGGTGCATGTGATAGATAGTAAGCCTAGAAGCAAATATAGATCAGGATGCTTGAGTCCTACATATTCCGAAGAGCAGAAGAGGGGCGGACATAGGAAGTACAGTGTGCCATTTCTGAAAGAATGTGCACTACCACTGCTTTAGGGGTGGGGCGTATGCCATACCCACGGTAGAATTCTCTGGTAAGTTAAAAAGTGGGGTCCTGTTGGATGGCAGTATATGGATGTTTATCATGGAGATGCAGAGCCTAGGGTGCTTTAGTAAGTGGGTGGCATATGGTATGCTGCTTCATATGCGACCCAAGGAGGGTTGGCTCATGGGTGGCTCATCCTCCTCACCCCCACAACCCCCTGCAGGAGTCTCTTTTGGGAGTATCTGCCACATGAGGCCAGCATGGGTCCAGTGCCAACAAGACCAGCCACTCACAGCTTGGTCCACAGAATTATCTGATGCCCTATAGATTTTCATCCCATTGACAAGAGGCAGATTCATTTCCCCATGGGCAGGGATAAGTGCGCAAATGGCTGGGTAGTTTCTCGGTAGTAGAGCCATCGTTCTCCATACTCAGCACTCAGAAATTTGAACTTGATTCCCATATCCAGGTTATTACTACTCTAACTTACTGTTATTGGAAAAGTGATATTCAAAATAAACACTGCAGGGAAGCAGATGCTTTTAAACATTCTAGTTGTCTTCACCACTGGGCGTATCGAGTTCATGCTCCTCACAGCTGCATCCCAGGATTTCCTCCTGCATCTCGGGCTGCCTAATGCAGGGTCTGCAGGATTTTATTCCAGCTCTCTTCACTGTCTACTCCAGTGATTCAGTGACTCTCAACCCTGACTGCTTATTAGAGCTTTAAAAAAGAAATAACCAATTAACTCAGAATCTCAGGGGCGGTGCCCAGGCTCAGTATTTTTTGAAAGCTCTTTGGTGTTTCTTATGAACTACCTCTCTGCACCTCATTTAGTGATCTCATCCATTCATGGCCCCAGTTGCCACTTAAAACAATACAAATCTGGCTCAGCCCAGATCTTCCTCCTGTATGCTAGACTTTTACCTGCCTATTGGGCAGTCTTGCTTGAGTAGCCCACATGCACCTGACCGTAACCAAACCGGTTGTCTTCTGTCTCCTCTTACTGCACTACTTATTCTAGGGAATGGCCCTAGAATTTAGGATATTGCCCAGGCCAGAAACCAGCTGGCATCCTTGACTTCTTCCTGCCCCTTCTATCATTACTGCCTCCAGTCAGTCTACCTGCCCACATCCTGCACCCGCCAGTAGGGCTCCCTGCTGTAGTCTCACTCTAGGTATCTTCAGTGTCTCCTCCACCTGTAAGTTGACCTCTGAACTCCTTTCAAGGCACACAGAGTCCTTTGTGATGTTCCCCTGTGGCTTTCACCCAGCTGCCCCTCCCTCATCACACCCCACACTCACTACCAAACTATTTGCAGTTTTGGAAAGTACCTGGCCCTCTGGCCACCTTGCCGTTGTATGCGCAACTCCATGGGAGGAGTGGCCTTAACATTCCACCTACTACCACCTTCACCTGATGAGCTCTGAGTCATCTCAAGAATCATCACAGTGGTCCCGTCCTCTGGGGAGGCCTGCCCCGCAACGTCTGGTTAGATGTTCTGGCTGTGCCAGGACAGCCGTGCTTACCTTTATCATAGCCTTCTTACTCATGTGCGATAGTGGTCACTTCTGGTACAGTATAGTTCCCATGCTCCTAAAAGCTCCTTGAAGCAGGGACTATGTCTTGTTTCTCCTTATTCTCAGCACATAGTAGACAATCAAAAAATATTTGTAGATACAACAGTGGTAATTCCAGAATTTCTATGTAGGAAGGGTTCAGGGGCAACAGTTTGATTGGAAGAAGGGTGTAAGGGGATTTACCCTCAAACTGCACTTTTCAATTAACATTTAATGTTTTTATTTAGTATTTGAAGTTACAAGCTCTGAAAAGTAATGATTCCTGAAAATTATTTCATTCATACTTTACACAAGATTGAGAAAAATATCATTTTTCTGTATGAAAGAATATTAATTTATTTGGGGAGTTCTAAAGCGTTTTCCCCCTCACACCCAGCTCCTTAGGAAGGAAGGGAGGGAGAGGGGAGGGAGCAAGGGGAAGAGGGATGCAGGGGAGAGCAGGCAGAAGGATGGACCATGAGCCACTTGAGAATTATGATACCCGTCTGTGTTTTTAGTTGGCTGTACAGTGCTGGAGCAGATGCTTCAGCGTCAGACATACATGCCTTCTGACCATCCTGTTACTGCTTTCCTGTAAGCTATAGTTTGTTTCATAAGTGTTTTAAACTATCAATATTTTCTTTTAAGATCATTTTTCTCTCTTTTAAATATTAGTATCAGCTATAAATTTGGTTTTATTTACCATATATAAAAGCGTTATGGATAATTAATATTATTCGGCACAGATTTCTGTCATCATTGAAGATCCACATGATCCTGTTGTGTCTCTCTCTTTGTTAGTTACCTTGTTTTTGGAGTTCTGGAAACGGCGCCAGGCAGAACTTGAGTATGAATGGGACACTGTTGAGTTACAGCAGGAAGAACAAGCCCGGCCAGAATATGAAGCACAGTGTACTCACGTGGTGATAAATGAGATTACTCAGGTAAGGAAAATGCTATCGAGATATACTTTGGTCTGTTTACTGCAGTGGTTCTCATCCTTGGCTGTACGTTGGAATCACCTGGGGAGCGTAAAAAATATCGATGCCTGGGTTCCGTCATTGCGTACACTGATGGTACATGGTAGCCTGGGGTGTGTTCTGAGCACAGGGATTTTTTAAAAGCTCCTCTGTTTATTCTAATGTATAGCCAAGTTGAAGAAGTACTGCTTAGAACAGTAGACTTAGTAGACAAATGTGGTCCCTTTCATAATAATACTAAAAATTAAAAAAAAAAAATCAGACCATGATATAGATGTATAAGGAAAGAGATGCATTGGTTTCATAGTTGACTCAGTTTTTCACATGCTCCTTCATTATTGCCGCCCCTTCTTCATCCTAAACTGGCTGCCCCTTTATCTTGCACTAAGCCTCAGTCACTGCTCCACCTTCTGGTTGGGATGCACACAAAAAAATGTGTCTCTTATCCTAAAGTCAGAAAAAGGATGGACGAGGAAGGGACTATTTATTGAAGCCCCACTATGTTCAGGCACTGTGCTGGGCATTTTATATCACTGGAAAGGTAGATTTGCTGCTGCTACTAATGCTACAAAAATAAAATATGTAACCATATATTTCTCTCTATAAATATTCCAAAGCCCCTGAAAGATGATTTTTGAATCATCCGCTTTGTAGCTTCTTTCCATCAACACAGAAAACTTAGAGCTGATTATACTTGTAGTCATCAGCATAAGAACATTAGGTTCTGAATATGAACAGCTCTTAGAAAGAAAATACTTTTACCAAGAGCATCTGAAAATGTCCCCAACCATAGATTTTATAAATTGAATCACAGATTTACAAAACATTGACACTAAAAGGGACTGGAGGGAGCAGTTCAACCTCCTTTTAAAAATGGAAAGAAATGAGGTTCAATTATGGGTGCAAGGTGACATTTGTCTTTAACAGTGTAACAACCTTCAAATAATCCCCATTGTGAATAGTTTCTGCTGTTTATTAGTGAAGACAGGGTCAAAGCATGTGTTGCTGAAAGATTATATATTCAGAAATGAAAGCTGAAGTTTAAACAAAAGTAAGTTCATAAAGTCTTTTGAGTACTAAAAAAAATAAAATAAAAGCTAATAATATCAGCAATATAGGAAAAATACTAAAGAAAAGGTCATTTAGGTCATTTAAGCCTGCCGATTTTATATTTAAAATTGCCAACTAATAAGTTTCCATTAAAATGTTGCTTGTTAAAAAATTGCAGGTGAAGATTCACTTTTCTGTATCTTCCTCATTTCACTTTTGTTGCTATTAATATTATATCCTCCATTGATTTAGGAAGGCCTATAGTGTGAGTGTGAAGTCTTGGAATGAGACTGCCAGAATTCAAGTCTGAACACAGCAACTTACCAATTGGGTAATCTTGGACAAATTATTTAAGTTCTCTGTGCCTCAATTTCCTTATCTATAAAGTGGGAATTATATGAGTTGCTTCCTCATGATTGTGATAAGGATTAAGTGAGTTAATGTATAGAACTACTTAGAATAGTACCTGGCACAGAGTAAATACTATGTAAATATTTGCCACTATTACTATGCTATAGCTACTCTTATAATCCAGGTAAATCATGAGAAGCATTGGTTTCTTCTCTTAAGAATTTAAATATATTCTTATAAACTATAAAACAGAAACTCTAAAAATTTGTTATACCAAATTAATATACAAAACTCAACCAAGAAACACATAGTGGATACCTGGTATTTGCAGACGTTTGTGAAACTTTTTGTCCTGCTATTTGTCCAATTATTTCTAAAGCCTGAGATGAACCTAGAAGTGTAGCTTTATAGCATTGTACCCTCAGATACCCAAACTCTTGAGCTCAGATCATGGTAAATAGTTCATTACTCATGCTTGCGTTTTCCAAAACTATTATTAACACTGCACATGTTTTGCTATGTGTGTATTTGAAATTACTTTAAAAATTTACAATTATGAGTAAGGAGACTATGCTTGCAAACTATTTTTTAATTAAATTAAGCCTAAGATTTATTGACAGATCAGGAGAAAAATAATTTCATTGGAGCAATCCCTTGATTGACTAAACTTTTTTTTTTTTTAATTAGGAAGAAGAGCGCGTTCCCTTTACCGCTTGTGGAAAATGTATGCGGATGACCCTCTGTGCAAGTGCCGTCCTTTTCTGGGTAAGAGTAATACAATTTTATATTTTAAAAATTATATAATTTTATAATTTGTCATTATATAACAGGCTTTTCAATATCTAATTTTAAATGTCAAGGAAACTAAAAGCTGAGCCTAGAAACTATATGGTCTCATAGAGACGTTTCCAGAGAACTATTTTGCCACCCCATGCAGTAGCTCTCAAGGTTCAAAATATCTCTATCTGTTTACGGCGGTTTTTTCAGTTTCTTTCACCCCATCCATTTAAATCAGGTCAGTGGTTCAGGGTTTTCCAGTTTCTGGTGAGGAGACCAAATTGAGAGGCACTAAGAATTCTAAAATTTTCCAAAAGCAATAACCAAACTAAAACATCGAGGAATAACCTTAACAAGAAGATAATAAGAGCTATCAAAGGAAACATAAAAACTACTGAAAGACATAAAAGAAGGCTTAAATGAATGATTCTTGAGAAAAAGACATTATTTCCAAAATATCAGAGTTTATTAATTTTGAGCTTATTAGTAATAAAATCATATTATTCACAGCAATAAAATAATGATAATTTTATTGGCTCAAGAACAGCCAGAGTAGAGAATAGGATGCAAAGCTCAGAAATAGGCCCTGATATCAATAATAGATTAATATACGAGAAGGGAGGCGTTATAAATCCATAGCATAAGTAGTGATTATTCCGTAAATGGTAATGGAATACTTGTTAGCTTATTCAGGGGGAAAAAAAATAAAGGTAAAGCCATACTTGGGACCCCATACTATAAGTTTCAGAAACATTAAAAAAAGCAAAACCATAAAAAACTAGAAATAGATTAATGAATATGTGATCTCTAGATGTAAAAAAGACTTTCTAAACTCACTAGCAATGGAAGAAGTTTCAGAGGAAAATATTTAAAAATTTCCATACATCCAAAGAATCCTAAGTTTAAACAAAACACCAAAAGAATTATTTATTAACAAATAGGACAAAGGGTTAATATGTGTAATATGTAGAGAATCCACATCACCTGGAAGATAACACCAAAGATTTCAGTAGCTAGAATAGAGAACATAAATACGCATGTATAAAAGAAAAAATGTAATGTCTAATAAGTGTGAAAAAAAAAATGCCAAACCTTAATAGTAATTAAATCCAGGCACATTTAAATGAGATAGTTTTTCACCTCTCAAGTGATAGGCCTCAGTGTTTGTGAGGATGAAGTGCAGCAATCAGCTACACTCATCCTAGGCTGTTGGAACTTTACATTGCTCCAGCCTTCCTAGAAAGCAGTTTGCCAGTATATATCAATAGTCTCAAAAATATTCACATGCTTTAATCTATTAATTTAACTTTTAGAAACATTCAATCTCAAAATATTTCAAAACGATAAAGGTTAGTAAGATTTATTCAGTTACCACATTATGTATATGTATGGATGGATATATATACACACACACAGACACATATATATCTACATAAATATATATCTCAGTCAAAACATCCTACTTTCAACCCTCCATACAGTGGAATATTGTGCATGCCATGAAAAAAAGTATGCTCATGAAAATATTTTATGGCATATAGAAATGCTTATGGTTTATGATAGGTTTAAGAGAAGGATAAAATTAATAAGTGGTTTTAAATATGCAAACAATGCGTAGCTCTGAAGGAGTTATGCTTACATGTAGACAATAGTAAATTTTTTCCTATTTTTATTTATTTTTATATTATTTTTGTAGTTCGGAGTGATTCAATTGTAGGTGACAGAAAATCAATCTCCAGTTGGTTTCAACAACAAAACGGGGAGGGTGGGATTTATTGGTTCCTGAAACTGAAAATTCCAGATCTGAGGTGTGGCTTCAGTCAAGGCTAGATACTGCAGACCAGATAACATAAAGGGCTACATTTTGTTCTGTCTTCATTCTGCCTCAGGTGGCCTCCCAGCATGTGGTGGGTAGGCACTCCCTTATGGTAGCAAAATGGCTACAGCATTCCAGATCTCACATCATATTCAAGCAAACAGAGGCTTTTTTTTTTTTACTGACTTTATCTATTGATAGGGAAAGCTTGTCTTTCCCGTAGGCACTAACATTTGTCTCCTCAGATCTTAAGGGCTCTTACTGGGTTATGTGTCAATCCCTGAATCAGTTGCTGAGGCCTGGGGGATAAGATACTGTTTTTGTCTCAAAGCAATAATGATTTACCTCTGGAGCACAGTGGGGGCAATCCCACCCAAACCCCAGGGATGAAAATAGAGGGGTTATTCCCCCCCGATGGAAAATCTGGGTTCTCTTCTAGGATGGAGCCAGATCCAGGCCAGATCCAAATTTTCCACAGTGAACATATACTAAAGTTATTATCAGAAAAGTATTACAGTTAGAATCAGAAAAGATAAGTAAAAAAATTTCAGAAAAGAGAATGAAAAGCTTCCTGCTCCTGTAAAGAAATATTGAGTACATCAAGCACTCTGAAGCATGGGAACTTTCCAAGTTTGTAAAAGCTCTGGAATGAATTAAAGTTCGTTTCTTTAACGTGGGAAGCAGTGCCATGTAGAGGTTAGTGTGTCTTTGGAGATTCCAGTTCTTTTACTTACTAGTTGCATAATCTTGGGCAAATTGCTTAATCTCTTCGAGCCTCTGTTTCCTCATTGGTAAAAGAGATTATGTAATACTACCTACCTTGCCTGTTATGAGGATTAAACATACGTACGTACGTGTGCTGAGGAATGTTAACTATTACCATTTAAGGAATGTTAATTATTACCATTACTTAATAATTATAATAATTACTATGGGGATAATTTTTTTAAATATATAATATTTAAAGAGCCTAAATGTGTTGTGCCGAGAGGGGAAGACTCTCTACATCTTCTGTTATTTTTCTCAGCCTTAGCTAATTTTTACATGTACACACAAAAATCTTATTCATTTCACAAGTGTTAAGACTTAACTGTGAATGAAAGGAGATAATGAGGGGAAATGTAATGCCTTCTCTACAAGCAGATTGCTTAAAAAGAAAGAAAAATATCTTTTTAATGCTCTCGTCACCATAATCATAGATAATATTTATATAATGCTTTTCATGTACCCGGGCTTAATGTTCTAAGTGTTTTCACATGTAACTCTTTGAATCTTCAACAGTTCTATAAGTTAGATGCAATTTTATCCCCATACAGGTGCAGGTGAGGCTATTGAAGCGCCAGTAGCTTAGTAGCAGAACTGGGATTCAAGTGCAGGAGTCTAGCCCCAGGCCTGTCCTGTAATCACTGCCTTTACTGCACACCACAGTTGAAAACCAGTCTCTTCTCTGTGATTGTCAACAACAGGACATGATTTGTTTGACCCACGATTTCCCGTTCTCTATAGCTTTTCTCTCTCATAGCAGTCATCACAAACAGTCAGACAAATTGAGTACATGGTTCTGGAAAAAGTAGATGCGAGGAAAACTGTTAGAGATGCCTCTTCAACAATGTCCAATACTGGGTATCAAATAAGGAAAAAATCATGATACCTTTTAATGTGCATTGGTTAGTGGCCAGAGAAAATCTGCTTACTGAGAAAGTGAAATCCTGAGTGTGCTTTAGACACCCTCACTGACACTGGGGACCACACAGCCAAAAATACAGTGGACTAGGGGCACAGCTCTTGTGGAAGTGCAGGTACAAATGACTGCCAGTTTAAGATCTTAAGATGTGAGTGTGAAAAGTGTGTGAAGATTTAATCAGCAGGGACCTGCTACCAGTACCAACAGTTAGCCCAGGGCCCCTCCCTGCCAGCTTTGCTGGCTGGGTTCAGAATCTCCCCTGCTGCAGTGATTAAGACAAAAGCTAGCACCTGCTGACACTTGGGTTGGCGATAGCTCCTCTGTTACAAGGAAACATCTCCTTAATGGAGCAAAACTGAGCAAAAAACACTAATTCATAACTTAAATAATTCAGTAATTGTAAACGGGATGTTTTCTTTGGTTCCACAGGCACACTTTTTCCTTCTACCAGAATATGCTACTAGTTATTCCATTTTTATGCTATCTGAAGATTCACTCATCTTTTAGTGGGTTTTCTTTTTTAGAGCAATTTTAGGATTATAAAAAAAATTGCGGCCAGGTGCAGTGGCTCACACCTGTAATCCCAGCACTTTGGGAGGCCAAGGCGAGAGGCCAGAAGTTTGAGACCAGCCTGGGTAACATAGTGAGACCCTGTCTATACAAAAAATTTTTTCAAAATTAGCTGGGCATGGTGATGTGCGCCTGTAGTCCCAGCTACTCGGGAGGCTAAGGCAGGAGGATCACTTAAGCTCAGTAGTTCAAGGCTGCATGAGCTATGATCACACCACTGCACTCCAGCCTGGGCAACAGAGCAAGAGCCTGTCTCAAAAAAAAAAAAAAAAAAATTACACAGAAAGTGCAGAGTCCCACTGTCACCCCTGCACACAGTTTCTCTTAACATCTTACATAAGTAGATACACCCTCCTTTGACTTTCATCATTCCTTTTCCTTTTTTTAAAATTTAACATGTAGATTTTCTACCTTTCAGGTGACAGTTACGTGAGATTTACATCACTTTACACATGTACCTTGTTAATTTAAGCATGGGTCAATTTTTAACAGTACAGGTATGATTATTGGTGAGTCTCATGCTGCTGTGTTCATTGTGTTTTCAGATCCTTTTGATCATCGCTTCAGTTATTGGGATTATTGTCTATAGGCTCTCAGTGTTCGTTGTATTTTCTGCAAAACTTCCCAAGAACCTTAATGGAACAGACCCAATCCAGAAGTACCTGACTCCACAGACAGCCACATCTATCACTGCTTCCATCATCAGCTTTATTATTATCATGATTCTGAACACCATATATGAAAGAGTGGCCATTATGATTACTAACTTTGGTAAGGTTCTACTACAGCTTAGGTAATTGCTGAGATATTTTTAGAGCCTGTATCTTTTAGACATTTCAATTCCAGTAGGTAACAATTTTTAGAAATTTTCAAGTGTAAACATTTTTTCTCTAGGCTGCATGGGAAATGAATTATCTACAGCTTTGCATTAGTAAAAAAGGACAAAGCAAAGACAATCATTATAATGTCCAAGCTCTGTGTAAACAGATCAGTGCTGAATAATATTTTCAATTACATTAGATCATGTACTCTACTGTCGAAAGTAAATAGTCTCTTTATTGCAAATAAGTGAAGTAGGGTCACAGTTCCAGTGGCAGATATGCTCCTCTGTTGTAGAGAGGACAAGCAGTCACACTGCTGCGTGTCTTTCCCTGTGCTGTTCATATTAATATCATTCTCATCAGCTCTGGCTTTTGTTACGTGCTGCTTCTCCCTGGCTTGCATCCCAGGCAGCTGCTGAGTGGCCGAAGTTAAGTGCTCTCCACACCCTGCCTACATCTGGGTCGTTCTTCAAACGGTCTGCTCAGTGGTCATGTAAAAATGACTGGACTGATTCAGATTTCAAACTAAGAGGATAACCAAATGCCTCTTGCAAGTTTCCCCTTGTTTTGTTGTTTTCTTCAACAGCCAAACCTTATTGCAATTCAGGAAGACAAGAAAATATCATGTAGCATGCAGTTCAAAAGTAATTTTCTGTCAGTTATAACCCATGACAGTTCTTGCTTATTTGATAGCACTGTACTGGTAAATTTTAAGGAACAGTTGAATTTTTTTTTTTTTTTTGGCCATGTGGGATGTTGTTCCCATGTGGGGGGAGAACTCTCATAACAATGTGTAAACTTGAAATTAACACACTGGCTATATTAAGCAATTCACAACAGCTTAAATGGAAACAGTGTGAATTGTATTTTTTTAGACATGTTAACTCACGTATCAATGTCTTTGATTAGGGTCTCAAAGCTGTTCATAATTTTAAAATCTTAATTTTCTTTCTTTTAACTACAGAACTCCCAAGGACCCAGACTGATTATGAGAACAGCTTAACCATGAAGATGTTCTTATTCCAGTTTGTCAACTACTACTCTTCGTGTTTCTACATAGCATTCTTTAAGGGCAAATTTGTAGGCTATCCAGGAGACCCAGTTTATTGGTTGGGAAAATACAGAAATGAAGAGGTGTGCATACAGAATTGTTTTCCCTTGCCAATTTAAGTTGTTTTATGTTTTCTCCCAGTTGCCCAATGAATAGTTTCTTCATTATAGATTCTTTAGATTTCATTTTAGCCTAAACAGAACAAATATCATAAAAATAAAATTAATGACTGTTTTCCAAGTTAGACCCACTGAAAATTTAAATGGATTTTCTTTTCAACATTCCAGTGTGACCCAGGTGGCTGTCTTCTTGAACTGACAACTCAGCTAACAATAATCATGGGAGGAAAAGCAATCTGGAATAACATACAAGAAGTATTATTGCCGTGAGTATTAAATTGTATAATCTTGGGTAACAGGACCAGGGATAGAACAGCCTGCCTATCCAAATCATTTGCCTATATATCCACATAGCTGCATGTCCACCTCTAAAATGGATTAGAATCTAATCCTGTTTTTAAAGGTCTCCAGACAAGAGAGTACAGTTAACAGTATAAATGTGTCCAGTGTTTAATGACTGTGTTTAAAAACCTTATGTTTCCCTACCCGCTATAGTTTATGCCTATTAGGCTGCTGGTGGTGGTTGACTAATCACAGCCCTTTGAGAGATGACCCTTGTTAGAGCTGTGAACTATGTATTTCCACAACTTCTCACAGCACCTTCCTCTTCTCCCTTTGTATTATGCGGTGAGTAATAGGCTGGGCATGGTGACACTCACCTGTAATCCTGGCACTTTAGGACGCCAAGGCAGGAGGATTGTTTGAGGCCAGGATTTCGAGACCAGCCTGAGCAACATAGAAAGACCCTGTCTCTATAAAAAGTAGGAAAATTAGCAGAACGTGGTGGCGTGTGCCTGTAGTCCCAGCTACTCAGGAGGCAGAGGCAGGAGGATCACTTGAGCCCTAAGTTTGAGGTTGCTGTGAGCTATGATGATACATTTAGCCCAGGCAACATAGCAAGACCCTGTCTCAAAACAATCAATCAATCAATCAATAAAATAGAAAAATAAAAGTCAATGATGGTAGTTTGTTGAATTCTTAACATGTGCCATAACCGTATTAAATCCTTTACATCTCTCTCGTTTAATCTTCCAAATGATCCTTATTTTTATCTCCCTTTTGCAAATGAAGATCTGTGGCCTAAAGAGGTAAAATGACTTACCCAAGTTCACACTGGCAATAAGAGGCTCCGGTAAGATTCAAAGCCAAGATCCTATGATACCAAACCCGTGTGCTTTCAAGAATAGAAATTCTCTTGTGATCCTAAGGCACTGGAGTACATTATGTCTTAAGAGATAAATTGTATAAAATAATTACCACAAAGGTTTTGACATATTGTTGCTTAGCTAAAAAACAAGAATAAAGAAGATACAGTTGTACTTCAGATGTTAGCTGGGATCCCACTATCCTTTTAAATTTGCACTTCAGCCCCCTGCAGTATCAAAGTGGAAAGGCCAACACCATCTACAATTTCTGCAAATTTCAGGGAGCCTATTTGTATTAGTTTTCTATTGCTGCTATAACAAATGACTACAAAATTAATGGACTAAAACAATGCAAATGTAATATTTTACAGTCCTGGAGATCAGAAGTTTCACTGGGCTAAAATCAGAGTGTTGGCAGGGTTGTGTTTCTTTTTGAAGGATCAAGGGTGAATCTCTTTGTCTTCTCTAGGTGTTGGAGGCCACATTCCCTGACTTGTGACCTCTGTTCTCCATCTCAGAGCCAGCAGTTTCATGTCTTGATCCTTCTTCTGTAATCACCTCCCCCTCTCTCCCCTGTCTCCTTCTTCCTGTCCTCTCCCCTCCCTCCTCCCCTCTCATTTTTTTAAAGTCCACTTTTTTTAAAGTCTTTTGCCCACTCTACAACTGGGATTGTTTTTAATTTACCACCCTTCTTTATAGGCTCCAGCCTCCTGCCTCTTTGCCCTGTCTTCCTCCATCAAATACAACATCCCTCTCTTTCTCCCCCTCCCTCCCCTAACCTCTCTTTCTCTCCTCCATCACCAAGTTTGGGTTCATTCTCTTTGCAGAGAAGTTAACTAACTCTGGGTTCCAGGGCATCATCCTCTGTCTTCAATGAAAGCTATTAGGGTCTTTCTCTAAATAAAGCTCTCTCTCCTTCCCCTCCTTCCCTCCTACCCTCTCCCCTCCCCCCTCCCCAAAAAAAGGATTCTGGCTTTGGCTGTGAAATTAACTTTTTATCCTACTGTGCAAAAAACCACCCTTACTTTCATTGAGCTCATATTAAGATTTTTCCAGATAAGTAAAAGTAGGTCATGCACAAATAGTACTATGTTTGTTTCTCCATGAAAACAAATACATAAAATAGAGCAAAATCTTAACTCTTTGGTTACTAAAAAGTGTTTTCTGAACCAAGAAGGTTAACTATTTAACACTAAGTTTTGATAGATAATTGGTTGCCAGCAAGCTATTGTCTGATTTAAAAAATTAGGGGGGAGGGTATATTCCTAAACTGGTACTGAGAAATTCATATGAAATGAAATTTGTTCATATATTTTAAAATAGAAAATGAATTCTAGTATCCATGGCCTGTTTATATGTCAAGTAAGCACATTGTTGAAAATTATAGTGACGTGAACTCTGCCTTCAGGTATTTTTCCTCCTCACCTAAAATATTTAGGCAGTACGCTTTAAATTACATATCCCTTATTTGAAAACTGGGAATGCTAATTGTTAGCCAAATGAGAGAGTGACTTGGACTTCTTCTTTTCTTTGTATAGGTGCCAGTTTCCATTTTTTCACGTAAAACCCTAAGATATCAAAGACATCAGGTACCCTTGCCACCCAAAACTATATCCATCCCCCAAATAGGTAGGGAGAGAAAAGCCTTAGAGTACATGGATTAAATATAAGAGTCCAAGAGAAAATGAGGTGTAAAGTGCTTCTCACCATGCTTTGCACATAATAAGGACTTAGTAAAGTATAACTTCTTATGATGTGGCTATGCTAACATGTATGGCAAATTCCTAAGGACATTATATTGTAACCCCTGCTTTTAGCCTTGGCCAGGTAAGAAAATCATCTGGTGTCTGTATTTTTAAAAAGTTCTATAGGTGATTCACATGTGCAGTCAAGATTGAGATCCCTGCACTAAAATCATAGCCCAGTAGAAAACTCAGAAGACCAAGGGCAATGTAGATGGATGACCACCCAAGATTTCCTACCACAGATGAGTGGTTCAACTCAGGAAAACTGAGTAAGAGGCTCAGAGTCAGTAGCTCAGGAAAGAAAGCTAGTGAGAAAGACTGCTAATGTGATCTGCTGTGAGTGGGAGAGTCAGAACAGGACGAAGGGGAAGCACTAGATGAATGGGTGATACAAGTGGTTGCCAGGACAGAAGTTTCATCCTGAATCCACATTGCGATGTGGTTTGGGGTCCAGATAGAAAAATACCTGCTGCACTGGGGGCATGGAGAGGATTCAGCAAGAGGCTGAGGCAGAGCAAAAAATAAACCAATAGAAACCAAACTGAGTCATCTCGAGTTAGGTGTCATGAAGGGTGATGGACATATGCGGTCCCTGCTGCCACCTGAGTTACAAGCCCCCTGGGATGGCTGAGACTGCAGGGCTCACCTCAGCTCTTTTTTCTCCAGCATAGGAAGCTGCACTATTAACGAGCATTCCACGTCTTTCTTGTTAAGTGCTGAAGTGAGAACCACTGATCCAGGCGGCCTGTGTCCCTGAGCCAAGGTGCTGCACAATGTAGGCCATGTTTTCAGTTGGCTTCAGCCAGTGTGGCCTGCATTGGTCAACAGAAAATCCCATGCAGGGCGTTTCGAAGTGCTACGAAGTGCGCTACATCGTTTACCTGTTTTGATTCCTTTAATTCTGACAGCAGCCCTGGGCAATATAGGTTTTATCACCCCGTTTTACTTTATTTTTGCCAAGGTTAAGCAGCCATTAAGCAATGGAGTGTGGATTGAACTCCCATCTCACGCCAGCTGGGTGCACACGTGCGGCACCTGCCCACGTGATGGAGAAGACGAGGTCTGCTGGGTTTTCTTACAGGAACTGTCTTTACAGTCGTGTGATGCCTTATTGTCAGAATTTGAAATCCATACAAACATGCTGTTTAATCAGCCAAAGCTTAACCAGATGTTATATCTGTATTTGGAATCCTTTGTCGTTATTGTGCCTCTTCTGATGAATGTCACAGATAAACCACAGGCCGACTGTTGCTTGAGGGGACAACAGTTCTTTATGCTATAGGTGCACACCTCATTTTCCTGCCAACTCAGATCTCTTTTCGGGACAAACTGCCGTAAAAAGGAGAAGCAGTTTTCCAAGCCACGAGGCTTTGAGAGAGAAAAAAACACGACGTAAAAGAGACAGGTCTATTGGGGCAGGGTCCAGGGGTGGACAGAGCACTGGGCACCCATCAAGGCTGTGTCTTCTCTTAGCTCTGCACTGTGACCTGGAAGAGATGTTTCACTTCTCTGATCTTGAACCTATTTTTTTCTGATATCAGATTATGTCACTCTTCTGCTTAGTGCTCTCCAATGGCTTCTCACACTGGTCTCTAACCATCCCCACCCCACCAAACCACCAAACTTGTTTCCTACTAGCCTTGGACCACAGGGGCCTGCTGTCTGTTGGGCGTGGGCAGCCTGCTCCTGCCTCGGCTCTGCGGGCACCGTTCCCCTGCCTGGAACCTTGTCCCCACGGTGTGGCCCCTCCGCCTGTTGCATACTCTTCTTGTTTGGTGTCTCTGGGAGTGAGGCCTTCCATGGCCACCATCCCCTCTCCTCCCCAGACACAAACGCAAACATTCCCTGCCTACTTTGTTTCTCCATGGCGCTTACCACCAGCTCACACACTGTGCCTTCGTTTTGTTTATTTTCTCTGGTGATTTTCATACTGGCAAGACTGTTTTGAATGGGGGGGGGGGAATGAAAAAAAGAACTAAAGTTAATCAAATGAGAGAAAATATCTTTTAAAAATTAAACTGTGTATAGGAAAAAGAGGTAAGAGGAAAAAAAATAGTAGCAGTTGCAATTTTGATAAGCCCAGGTATATAGTCCTATTTTTCAAAATATTTTGATAGGGATAGGGAGACAGAAATAAATTTAGCACACAAACAAATTAATTAATATCTTTGGAAAATTGTGTGTTCAGCTTTGAAATAGCAGCAAAATACTTTTATGACCTTGGTCTGATAATACTCATTCTAATTTGTAATTTGGTCTTTTTGGCAGCTGGATCATGAATCTGATTGGACGGTTTCACAGAGTTTCAGGATCAGAAAAAATAAGCCCACGATGGGAACAAGACTACCATCTGCAGCCCATGGGCAAACTGGGATTGTTTTACGAATATCTTGAAATGAGTAAGTTGTCAGTGAAATTTTAGATGATACAAAATATGTTGGAATATGCTTTGGATCCCAAAAGCATCTGTTATTGAGTCAAATTAATATTTAACATCTTGAAATGAAGAAGAGTATGTTTCTCTCCAATAGATAAAATTATATAATCAGGCTTCCAAATAAGGTGGCTGTGTGTCTTTGTCAATATTTATGTTTTACAAAGCTAAGATTTATTGAATACACAATAAAATGGCGTATTCATTGAGGTGTATCTTTACTGTTAATTCTCAAAGCATTCTAACCATGCTGTCTGAGAATGAACTCAGCAACTATTATTAGATGTGATTCAGCTTGGGCTGGAGTCCATGCAGGCACAGCTGTTGGCCAATACACTTCTGAACCGAGTCATTTAAGGCAGGCAGTAGGACATGCTGCGTTGTGACAGGAATGATCTCAGGGTCCCCTTCTTCACACCTCATGCTTGCCTTTGACAGTGTATCTGTTTCTCCTGCCAGTGGTTTCTGCCTGGTTCCTTGTATGACCTCATGGCTAATCACTGACTTGAATTTGGAACCATTGTGCTGGTCTAGAATTAAGATTTAGCACAAGTCCCCTCCTTCCTAAATGTCTTTGTCCATTTGTGTATTATTTGCTTGGGCTCTGTTTCTATTCAGTTGAACTTGATTTTGAGCTCTCAGTTGCTTTTAAATGGATGCTTCTCAAAATGGAATCCATAGGAAACACCATCTTTTCTGTTATGCATGCCATGCTTCTGTCTAATAGATGGCTAACAATTTACACATTTTGTATCTGTGCCCTTTCAGCTAACCATTGCAGTGACTTACAATTTTTTTTTTAACTTAGGAGAATAGAAAAAGAAGTGTAGCATTTTGGTTGACAGGCCTTGCATTTATGCATAAGGGTTTGCATGTTTGAAAAGATACCCCTTTGTGGTTCCTGTTTACAATTCTTTAGATAGAAGATGAGTTTTTATTAAATCACATTCTATATATATAAAATAATTGCTTTTAAAAATATACATTATACATGGAAACACATCTGCTTCCTTCAGTGAGTAAAAGGTTCATCTTGTGGCTTCTTCAGTCAACAGTACTTTGCAGCAGGCTGGAGTCTGATCTGAATTTCATTTTTGCTTTTATGTTTTGTGATCAGGATTTATTAAGGGTGTAGCTGCAGTACATAATGTAGAAGTTATATTCATTTATTCTGTTTATTTTCAAAAGGACTGTAAGACTTACCTGTTATTCAAAATGAGTCATAATTGTAAATATTTCTTATGGGAGTTATTATCAACATTAACAATAATAGCATCCTGGGGCAGAATATCATTCGTTATTTTAGCACCCCAAAAAAAAAAAACTTAGAAAAAAGTTATTTTTCTATGGTTGATTTGTCAAATGATGTTGAAAGGAAAAGCTATATGGTCATGCTTCAGGGAGAAGCTGATATGACTTTAGAGTTTCATAGGCTCATTAAAATAGTTATCAACTAAGTAATTCCGCCTCATCCTGTTCTACAAGCAGGATAGAATGACAGCTGTTACAGACGGATTTGTAGATTTATTAAATTGTTTCCCAATTATCCAGATAATACGTCATGACTTAGAAGACTTAATTTCTGAGAGTAGGTAGTCTATTATTGTGTATTCAACAGTGGAGCGAAATATGTCTTTCTAGTCTGTGGAAGATGGAATTGTCCAAGTGCCTTTTGAATTATTTTTGTTCTGCTAAAAATAAATATGGAGTGCCTTTGGCACACACCACCACAGAGTCCCCTCCTTCCCATCTTCGTTAATTGACCTTTCTAATTACAGCTCCTACCCCTTAACAGAAACATCTTCCAGCAAACAGGCCTGGGGCCTCTGCCCTTGCTTGGTTCCGCATCCAGCCACTGCTCTCTTCCCTTCTTTCCTGAAAAGTCCTGAGCCTCAGCAGGGCCCCTCAACTTTTCACATGGCTTTGCTGCTCTTTTCTTCTGAGTATTGACAGCATGTGATACCTGCCTTGGTGGCATGTGATGGAATGCATGCCTCTCTACCGCTGCACGGGGCCTGCTGGGTGTAGCTACCACGTCCTCGGCTCCTTCCCATCCTCAGCTGGAGCACCGAGGCCTGGAACCTAGTACTCAAACATTTAAGCGACTGAACTTGGAGCTTCAATGCACATGTGTAACTGTTAGTTGATCTTACATTAACATTGTCACATCCTCTCCCCACCAAGTTCTGTATGGCCTTTTTTTTTTTTTTTAAGTGAAATTTTTATTTCTTTTATTGAGCAAATTTCCCACCATCCTTCAAGATTATTAAAGTAACCCTGGAGTATTAAACAACATTGCCTCTCAGAGCATTTTCCTGACTCTGAGCACTCAGACACAGAACATAAAGGTAGTAGTCTGTCAGTATTAAAACCTGGAAGCCATAAGATACCAGTTTTGTACTTAGAGTAGGACACAGCACAAACACAGGTGTCCTGAGAACTTGGCAATGCCTTCCCAGTGGGCAGGTCCCATAAAAGAAGTGCGCTAAAGTGATGGGGCGGGGGGGGTCCCATTTGTCTCTGGTACTGCCTCTTCCACTCTTGCCGTATTACCTTGACATGACCTTTCTCCATCTCCCAGTTCATCTTTTTAAACCCATTAAAACGATGATCTTCATATGTTTTCTCCATTTGACTGTAATGAGTATCAGCTGTTCTTCAGCATCTCCTTGCACCCACCCCTATCTTTTCCTCCCTTCTGTGCGCCTCCCACCAAAGCCCCTGCTGCACTCTCCAGGGCTCAGGCCTTCTTTCCTTCATCCTATCCCCTCATCTCTGCTCAGTTCCTGCCCATCTCCTGCAGTGAAGCTTCCTGCCTTTTCAGGAGAAGCTTTTCAAAATGGCAACTAGGTAACAGGGGAGGATTTGCAGGCCTCCCATCTCTTCATTCATCCATTCATTAAGTAAACATTTATTTAAGTACCTGCTGTGCCAAACACTGTGTAAGTTGCTGGGGATGCAAGACAGGGCCTGGTCCCTGCCCTCATGGAGCTTAGCACCTGGTGGTGGGCTGTTATGAAGCAGGATGCAAATCAGACATACTCAAGCAGGATGCAAATCAGACATACTCAAGCAGGTGATATTTAACTGGATTTTGAAGGGTGAGTGGGAGTTATCTAAAGCATGGTGAAGAGAGTGGACATTTCATGTGGCGAGGTAGACGTATTTAAAAGTACAAAGGCATAAAACAGCTTGTTCAGTTCAAAGAATGGTAGGTAAACACAATTGCTACAACTGTGGTTGGGGAAAAGTGGAAGAAAAACTATAGCTAGGTGGGTTTTTCTTTTTTAATTTCTTAATATATAATGACTTTTTAAAAATTATTTAAAACACATTCAAGGGGGAAAAAAATTCAGTGGAGAAGAGACTGTTTGGCCATGTCAGAAGTTGCCTAGTGACCAAATAAATCAAGACTGAAAATGAGCATTGGCTCTGGAATATGTAGTTGGTCACTGGCAAAGTGAGCAAGAGTAGGTTCAGTGCCGTGGTGAGGCCTCAGCAGGGTTTCAAGGAGGGCAGGAGTGGTAGAGAAATAATTGGGCACACTTCCTTCAGTGAACTTGACTGTAAAGTGTATAAGAAAGCATAAAACGTATTAGATAGCAATATAGGATGATGAGAAAGTTTCAGGCAAGGGTGGTTTTTACAATAGGTATTTTTTTCTTTTTTTTTGGTTTCAAAAGTGATTTATAAATTTCTCACTTGAATATCAGATCAAATTATACCATGTTGGGTTTTTTCTGGTGATTTTTTTAATATAAATTTTTTAATCCATCTGTTGTCAAAAGTGATGGCCCCATACCAGTTTTCCCAGTGACTTAGCTAGTTGTTCCGATGCATGAATCCACTGATTTAAAGTATCACTTTATAAAAATATGAAAATCCCATGAATATTTGTATCTCTTCTTAAACTCCATCCTGTTTAATTCATACTATCTATTCATGTACTAGTTGTTTCAATTACCATAGCATTATAATATACTTTAACATCTCCTAGAGCTGGTCCCATTTTATTATTTTTCAGAATGTTCCTAATACTGTGATTGCAAACGATCCCTCCTCATTATTTTACCTGTTTGTTTATGTTCCTGGACGAACTTTAGCATTAACCTTCCAGCTTTTTTTTCTTAAATCCATTTGGGATTATTAACTGAATTTGCATTAGAATTCTAAATTATTTTGCAGAAAAAAAATTGATACATTCCCAAATTTGAGTCTGCCCAATTAAGAGTGTGGCACATCCTACCATTCATTTATTCACCATTTGTTTTTCTTAAGTCAGTTACCAGAGCACTCTTGTCTGTGTTTTTGTTGTCATTATAAATGTTATCTTTCCTCTATGGGATTTTTAACTGGATTTATTGTTAATGTAACCCTAATTTCTGGCTTCTCTTGGACAATCAAGAGATCTGGCAACGTTGGGCCCTCATTCCAACATGTGACTGTGAGCTGTCCCTTTCAGTAGGACGTGCACTTGCCAGTTGACCACAGTTGACTCTGACCCACTCCACATTACTTGCCTTGCCCCCTTAGGCTGATGAGTTTATTTAGGGTTAGGTGAGTCAGACACAGACATTGCCATGTTTGCTCATTGCTGCCAGCTCTTGTCTGTCGGACATCTCTGAATATGAGTACTTTTGCCTGGCCTGTCTGCTCTTGTGCAATATTCCCTTATCCTCTCAGACCAGAAGCAAATGCCAGCTCCTCCCACCTAGCCACACCCTCCACAGCCTTGCCTGTGCTGGCTGGAGTCGTTCCTGCCCCTTGTCTGAGCAAGAGGCCTAACGGGCTGTAGATTTTCCTCCCATTCACAGTCTTAGTTACATATCTGTACACGTTTCCTCTATAGGTCTGCCAGTTAGGAAGGCAGGGTCTAAAACTGAAAGTTTCCTTTTTTAGATCTTTGGCCTTATATCTTACTTCTTCCTCGCTGTAGTATAGCTTAACCAAAATCTCTGCTGCCCTATTTATAGCAAGGCCATGTTTATTACAGAAAAGCCACCACTTGCATCTTGACTTAAGAACTTCAAGATAAAGATTCTTAAAGAACAGTTATGACTTACTAAGACACTTTTATCACATACTTCTGTGATTTTTAATAATATCATAAATTCTCTGAATGCACTGCACTTGCATTCACAGACTATGGGAAGCTCACTTCTTTGCTTGTTTTCAGCATATTTCCTCCAGCATTCTCTAAGCATAGCCTTCCCAATGGTATGTTTCTTATATTTCTTTTTAAATTGTTAGATATGTCCCCAATATACTTTTTCTAAAATCCTAACTCACAAATCATCTCCTAACATTCTATGATTTCAACACTGAGAATAATATGCTTAGAATGTCTCAAGTTTATTACCAGCAAATAATTCTGGTTGATTAAAGATTTTTTAATATATTGTTCCTATTAAGTATTTACATGTGAAAGAAATAGGCTATAATTAGTCTTCTTTCCAGAGAGTTCATATTTGTGTTTTGTTTGAATTCTTTCACTGTTGAGCGTTAAATTATTTACCATGGATGTGTTTTCTCTTTGGGATTTAGTTCTTTGTTTGCCTTTCTCTTTCAAGAGTAAAGGAAAGTATGTTGTCCTTCCATTCATCCACCACTCCATGATGTGTGTCCATTCCATTGACAGTTATTCAGTTTGGGTTCGTCACCTTATTTGTGGCCTCTTTTCCACTGGCCCCTCTGTTGGCTCTGGTGAACAATATATTGGAAATAAGAGTGGACGCATGGAAACTGACCACCCAGTTTAGACGCCTGGTGCCCGAGAAAGCCCGAGACATTGGAGCATGGCAGCCCATCATGCAAGGAATAGCAATTCTGGCTGTGGTGACCAATGTGAGTAGACCTAGGCTTTACAGGGTAAAGACCTTGAAAAGTCCAAAAATGCTTTGGAGTTGCTACCTAAGGAATCAAATGTTTAATGTTTTTTAAAATGAGAAGATGATGCTAAGACTATCATCCATATAAATTACATAGTAGTTATATAACTGTTATAATAAATCTGTTTTAATTTTGTTTATAACTATTCTTGACTTAAAACGTCAGGTACCTACATAGGTACTGTTATTGTTCATTTGCTAAGCTTTTATTCAATAGAAATGTGGTAATGATAGTAAGCGCTAACACTTTTAATCCTCACATAACTAAAAGTTATCAGAAAGTGCTTTTATAATATGGATAGAAATCTGTTCATTCACAGTTGGAGGACCCTAAAATAAGACCATTTTACTATATATTACAAAGTATCAACTTAAAATAATTATGCATTACCATATGCATAGGTTTAGGGTGGGTTTCACCCTCTTCCCACTCCACCCCTAGGTCTTTGCCAGCCATACTCTGGTCATTGGCTGAAGCAGCCTCATGCCCTGCATGTATCCCAACTGTGACGGAACAGAAGTCAGTTGTTTACTGCTTGTGTTAAGTGATTATCAACCAGTCTGAACAGTCTTCTTTTTTTTGCACAGGCCAACAGAGAGCTCTCAGGCAGAACAATTTTCATGTCAGCCCATCAGAGGACCTCTTTCCCTAGAAATATCCTTAAAACCAGGGCCATTTCCTCCCATATTTCAATTCCAACCTCCCAGATAAGCTTCCCCCAACAGTGATTTCCCAGTTTTAATTTCTTAAGCCACACTTGCCATGAGCCCCTAGCCTTTTCCCACAAGCACCTTCAGAAACAGAATAGAATTCAGCAATACCTGTAGATCCTGGATGAGGGAAGTTACTGAGCACTGCAGATGTTAGAATCAGGTAGACCCGAGCTCCACTTCCCAACACTGCAGCTCTGAGCTGCGTGATCTTGAGCCAGGCCTTAACCCTCCAGAGCCTCATTTCATCATTCGTAAAAGGAACAATACCCTACCGCATATTGTAAGATTAGCACATGCCACGAGAGTTGTTAGTTCTTATTGAATGTTAGCTGCTGCCGTTTTATCATCTTCATTACTAACAGTGACTCTGTGAGGACTGTGACAGCTACCTCAACTAGAGGCACACGAATTTCAAAAATCAGTCACTGTCTGGCCTATGGTTACAGTTTTATACAATAAAAGAAATTATCTGTAATCCAGCCATCACCCCAGCACACCCCAGAACCCTCAATTTAGCTGAATTGCATGCTATCTCTACTTTTTGGAGCAAGTTGCAAATCACACTCAAAAAACAACTGCTAGGGTATGTCAGTTTCCATTCCCCCAAATAGCCTGCACCTTCAGCATCTACTGTGCTACAGAATGAAGACTGATGTTCAGAAATCTGACAGCAAGGCCTTTCAAGTTCCACAGTCATAAAAGAATGAATCTGTCATATTCAATATGCTATAGTACACTAAGCAGGGCAGGAACATGGACTTGTGTGTGTGCTTTAAGAAAATTTTTAGCAACAAGGTTTGAAACTAAAAGGGTTTTTGACCTTCAGCTAACCAGAAAATTCAATTGACTCAAACTCTCCATTCCTCAAGCATTCTGGTTTGATTGCATTAGGTACCTTTTCCCAGTATCCATGCCATGGCTTCCCTCCATTAGCACAGATGGAGGATTGGCTGTGTTTCCAAGGCTACTCCATGTGTGTGTCTGTGTACAGATACACACGCCAGCTAATTGGTGCTATTGGTTCTTACTCAATAGTAGTTTTATAACTTACCCCAGGAAAACTGCTTATTAGATTTGTGACATTGATTAAACTATGGACAATCCCTTTTTCAGTATTATTAGGATTTGTTGTACTTCCAAGATGCAGTATGCATACGCATACATGAGTATGAGTGGAGGCAAGCGTTAAATACTTGTCTATTATCCTCTCAAACACCTAATGTGTCTCTCCACAACCTACTGTGTGCAAAAGGAAGAAGAGAACAGCCACCAGGGATAAGAGTGGGCCTCTAAGCAGGAGTTTGATATAAAATCATTCATTTTAAAGCTGCTGGCTCAATAAATAAGCTGAATTGACACCATTGTATCATGCCAGAGCATCTGCTATTGAAGACCAATTTTAATTTATTTTGATATAAATGGAAAATTGTGTGCAGAACAGCATGGGAAATGAAGCACACTGCACTTACTTGCACTCTTGCAGCATGTCTCTCCAAGCAGCTCAATTCAGGAGGAAAAGTATTAATGTCTTGTCAAAAGACAATAGAATTATCTTTCTTGTTGGAATTTTTGTAGCTTCCTGATGCACATCTGCAGGTGATTCTGTAAAGAAATATAGTTGAGTTAAATGATAACAGGAAAATCTAATCTATTGGAATCTGGAAAAAGGTAAAATGTTCTTGGAGCCTCACCCCTAATACCAGCGGGCAGATGCACACACAGAGATCTTATACATCAGAGGAAATGACAGAGCTGGTTCTAGTGGGGAAATTTTGCAATAGAAAAGCCCCTTAATTGTTTTTGTTGCTTTGCCTGAGATGTTGTTTGTTGGTTTGTGGTCTCACTGTGTCTAAACCATATGTTCAGATGAATACTATTAAAAATCATGTTCAGCCAAAAACATGTCTGTTTTTCTCCTTCAATTAATGACTGAATCATTTAGCTTTGTTTATTCACATAGAATCTGGTTTAATTTTACACATTGGAGAGTTTAAAGCCCAAATTAAAGAATTTTAGAGAAAATTCATGTAATTCACAATAGCTTGGCATCCTGATAGATGTCTCCCTGACACAGGTTAATGACTGACCCATATTTATTCCTTTTATTTAGGAACATACTAAACTTTCTGTATGTTACTCAGTAATTCATAACTTTCATAACATTATCCATTTAATCTTTTGAAAGTAGAGAAGCTTAGACGCTATATCTAACAAAACAGACATCATTGCTTGACTGTGTGAATGGAACAACCCAATATAATTTCTTGCTACCTACTTTTTTTTTTTTGCTACCCACTTTTTATTAAAATTAATAAAAATTTTTGCTCTCTAATGAAGCAACAATCGTAAGTATATACTGAGAGTTTAAGATAAAGCAGGCCATGGGGTTGACTTGTATAAACAAGATACTGTAGGGGAAAAAAAAGTGTGAATTTGAAGGTTGTTATTTAAATTTAGATCAAGGAAAATATATTTTAGATAGTTTACACTCTATTTTTATAAGAAACAAGTGATAAATTAGTTTTGTTTCAATTATTTATTCTACAAAGGAATTATATAAAGGTGAATTATTTTTATAATATTGACCTTAGTATTACATCTATAAAAGAGTCTTCTAAATCTAAGTCATGAAAGATTAACATTTTATCATAATGTTGACTGAATTTTATTATATTCTAATTTTTTGAAAAATACTAATTTACATGTAATATATGCAAGCAACTTCTTGAATTATCTGCAATACCCTAGTCTACAATTATTCTGAACAAACTGGTGTTTACTGTATTTAAGAAACATAACAGGCAAGTATCAGGCCTTTGCATTTGAACAGTATGTGGACTTCTAAACATTCTCTTAGAATTAAAGACCAAAAGGAAAGGAATATTCTACTTTAAAATTGTTGCTTCAAGATTGTGGGACATTGACTATCTATATACATTTCACAGTTAAGAAAGAAGGTTTCTGAATCTTTAATTTTTTAAAAACATTAATTTGATAAAAATAGTAATTCTGGTATATTTGTTAACCATAGTTATAAAAGCTCTAATTTAATGCTGCCTTTTTTCTTGTCCTCCCAACATAGGCCATGATCATTGCTTTCACATCAGACATGATCCCCCGCCTGGTATATTACTGGTCCTTCTCTGTCCCGCCCTATGGGGACCATGCTGACTATACCATGGAGGGCTACATCAACAATACTCTCTCCTTCTTCAACATCGCAGACTTCAAAAACAAAAGCCAGGGAAACCCATACTCTGGGCTTGGTGACCATACTACATGCAGGCAAGTTCTCCTATACCTGTTTAAAAATGTACTTTATCTTTAAAAGGGCTTTCTTTGTGATGTAATTTTGTTTGTTGTTGTTTAAATCAAACTGCTAGAGACATTTTTTCCCATAGCTTTCTTTTCAGTGAAACTCTTAATAAGGGGTAGAACTTTCCCAAACCATAAAGCAAGATTTGAAGATGAGAGTTTCAAATGGTTACAAGGAGACTGATCCAGGAGAAAAGTTTTATATCTTAGAAATAGAGAAACTCCAAGAGTTCCAGAAAACCAAGATAATTCAGTTGTTAGGACTAGTGTGTTAAACAGGCACAACCTTAGGATACTGAATGATGACAAACTAGCACCCTCAACTTAAAGACATGAAGATAAGAGCTGTAAATACCTCAGTTGAACAGTATTCTCTAAAAATATTCCAAACTCTGCATTGATTTTAATGGCTGGTGAGCCCAACTGTGGGTGGTATACACCAGCTAATTTACAAGTTGATAGAATTTGTTGACTATGGGGGCATAGAATTTTTTTCCCCAATCAGGTAGTCTTACCTGAAAAGGAGCCTTTAAAACTCATTTAGTCTAACTCTTCAAAGCCTTCACTGATTCAAATTCTCTACAACACAACCAAGAAACCAGAAATAAGCCAAAAATAAATGTTTCAAAGTTACACGTAATAATATTCTTTGCAGAATACTACATTGAATCTGCTTATTCTTACTTTACATAATTCTAATCAGAAATTAAACTCTTCTAGGTTTAATAAATTACAGGCAGAAATGTGCTACCTGAGGAAGATACACTAACGGCAGTAACATGTATCTGACAATGAGAATTAGGTAAAAAGTTATATTGAGCAGGTAGTACTCTGTATAGGGAGAGATAGCCCAATAGCTAAGTGAACCTTGATAACATTATATAAATAAATTTATAAACATGGTCCCCCAAATAGAAATTGTTTTAGCTATATTCCTTTGAGAAAACAGGGATAAAGCTCTGGAGGAAAAAAATTAAGAACTTTAGTTCTTTTATAAAGATCGATTCTTTTTTACACAGATGAGATCTGTAGTTACCATCATTTTCTGATTACCTGTTAAATGAGGTATTACTGTAGTTATTTTGGGGTTTTGTTACCAAATTGAACTCTAGGAGAAAATTTATGTGATATCCAACTTAGCACTGAATCAAATATGACCTCTTTTTAAATGGGGCCCTGGTTTACAGTATTTGATCAAAAAGATTTGTCTCCTAATATGTCTGCATTTTGTTTCCAGGTATCGTGATTTCCGATACCCACCTGGACACCCACAGGAGTATAAACACAACATCTACTATTGGCATGTGATTGCAGCCAAGCTGGCTTTTGTCATTGTCATGGAGGTAGGAAAAGTATACTTTGAAATAGTTTACAAGGCCATATGTTTGCAGAACTTCTATTAAGTGTTGCCAACTCTGTACTTAAAATGTATGATACTTTCTTCCTGATCACTTGCTATCAATAGTTTTAGATTATATGTAAATTAAATGAAGTTGGTTATCTGCTTTAAAAGTTAAAAAACATGCTGTGTATAAGGGGGATTCAATTCTATACAATTCAATATTAACTAAGTGCCTTTTTAAAATTTGGAGCCCTGGGCAGCATGTTGGGCTGTGAAAGGGCTTATTCAGGATGGGTACGATGGCATCTCTGCCCATGAGGAACTTTTATTGCTGTGATAGTTTATTTGTATTATTTCTTTTACTGTGTTATAATAAACCAACTTCTTACAATAGTTTGTTATATCCCTAAAATTGACCAGCTCTGAAAAATGACTAAGGCAACTATGAATTTGCAGTCAATCTATCCAACTCTACTTTTTATTCCCAATGAATAACTACTACCAAATTATAAAGCATCAGAAGTTGCTTGGTGTGGTAAGTTAGGATTACATTTAAGCCGCTAGAAAACCCGTTTATAGTGCCTTAACCAAATAAGGAGTGTTTTCATCCAAAAAAGTTCACTAGAAGGAGGTGGTTGCTCCTGAATCAATACTAGCTCACTGATGTAAGGACCATTTCTAATTCTCTAGGTTTCTCTCGTATGTCACCTTATGGTTGCTATATGGCTACCGCAATTCCAGATAACACATTTACATTCAAGGCAGGAAGGAGGGTGACACCAGCCATATCAGGTTCTTTTTGTCAGGAAAGAATGCTTTGCCAGAAGCCCTCTCAGCAGATTTCCACCTACATCTCATTGGCTAGAACTATAACACCTGGCTCCTCCTAGCAGCAGTGGAGGCTGAGACAGGAGGTATTTCATTTGCTCTGAGTATAATCCAAACCAGTTAGCAAGGAGAAGGTGGTAGGCTACCTGGCTTTGATAACTTCTACTAGTATTTTTTTTAAATAGCTACCAAACATTAACAGGAAAAGAAGAATAATTCATGGCTCATTTACCATCATAAGTGAATTTCTGAAGTACAGTATCTAATATATCAGCCAGAGTCACTAGTGTCTATTCAAATATGTAGTGATTGGACTTCTGCTTTTGATATTACAGTGGATGAGATACTGTAAGGGGCCATCCCACCAAAAACACCTAGAACCAACTTGAAACACAATTCCTTTGGAGTTTTGAGCCTACTGGAAGGGAGGAGACTCTATCACGGGGGAGAACTAGGTGATGGGTTTAAATAGAGCAGTGAGCAGGAAGCTCCCCCGAAGTGCAGTAGGACTCTGAGAGCAAGTGCCACTGCTTGTCAGTGCCTTCATCTCCGAGCTTAAGGAGGCCAGGCCTTCAGGGAAGTGGGAGAGCTGAGCTTGAGACTTCCGGATTAAGTGAGATTTGTCTCTGAGTAGAAGGAAATGCCTATCTTCTCTGGAGAAAAGTATGCTCAATTTAGACCCCAGGTTTTTCTCGGATCAAGATAATCAAATAGGAGCTCACAAAGTTTAATAATGAAAGGGGAAATTTTAAAAATGAATGAAATTCAACAGGAAAAAACAACTGATTTGAACCCTTGATAACTTCAAGAGCTTGAGTTATCAAATAAGGAATATATTAACTATATGAAAATGTTGAAACAAATGGCAAAGTAAAAAATGAGCAAATAACAAACTATAAAAAATAGGACAATTTTGAAAAAACTAAATGGAACTTAGAAGTAAAAATGTATAAATAGTGAAATGAAAAAAATTAACACAGATTAAACAGAAATTTAGGCAAATCTGAAGAGAGAATTAGTGAAGTAAAAGATAGGTCTAAAAACATTACCTCTATCACAGGGAGATAACAAAATGGGAACTATGAAAAAGAAGTTATATATGAAAGACAGAAGGAGAAGTATTACCTTAAAAAAAGAATCACAGAAGCAGAAAACAGATAATAGAGGAGAGGTAATATTTGAAGCGTTAATAGCTAAAGTTTTTCCAGAATAAATGAAAGACAGTTTACAGGGCAGAAAGCATGACATGTATCAAGCAGAATAAATAACAAAGAAATCCACACACACATTGTAAGGAAAATGCAACACAGCAAAAACTTAAAAGTAACCAGAGAAAGGAGACAAATAACTGACAAAGAAAATTAAATTTAGAATGAGAGTAGGCTTTTTAACATTGGAAGCCAGAAAAGAGTAGTCTAATATCTTCAAAACGCTAAAGAAGGTAACTGTAAACCTAGAATTACAGCAAAACTTTGAAAAATTGAAGTTTTTCCACAGTGAAAACATCAGGCCATGTGGCTTTATAGAATGGTACCAAGCTTTTTAGAACAGACCATTTCAACCTTATATAAACTCCTGCAGAGATCAAAAAAAGAGCAGATACTCTCCGACTCATTTGGTGAGGTTAAGAGTAGCACAGATCCTAAAATCAGACAAGAATAGAAAGGAAAGGAAAATTAAAGCCAATCTTGCTCATTACATAGAGGCAAAGATCTTTCTAAAATGTGCAAACTGAAATAATGGATATGTTAATATGTTCCACTATATAGTAAGTCCTCAACATTGTTGATAGGTTCTTGGAAACTGGGACTTTAAGATAACGTGTAACAAATCATTTTTTTTTCCTCATCGTTAGAACATTGAAGGAAATGACATTATTCTGGGACCTATTGTCATTCTGTTGAAATTCACGGTCCCAAGAACCTATCAACAACATTAAGTGAGGACTTAGTGTAGTAACCATTTTACTATATATGTATCTTATAATATCATGGTATATACTTTAACTATATACAAAATTGATTTTAAAAAATGTGCAAACTGAATCTAGCAGTATATTTTTATTTTTTTTAATTTTTTTTTTGAGACAGAGTCTTACTGTGTTGCCTGGGCTAGAGTGCCGTGGCGTCAGGCTAGCTCACAGCAACCTCAAACTCCTGGGCTCAAGTTATTCTCCTGCCTCAGCCTCCCGAGTAGCTGGGACTACAGGCATGCGCCACCATGCCCGGCTAATTTTTTCTATATATTTTTAGTTGTCCAATTAATTTCTTTCTATTTTTAGTAGAGACGGGGTCTCGCTCTTGCTCAGGCTGGTCTCGAACTGCTGAGCTCAAACAATCCGCCCACCTCGGCCTCCCAGAGAGCTAGGATTACAGGCGTGAGCCACCGCACCTGGCCAGCAGTATATTTTTAAAAGATCACACCACATTGGCTTTAATCCAAAAATGTAAGGGTGGCATAACATAGAAATTCCATATATCTACAATGTTATCTCAAAAATAGATGAAAGAAAAATAACCTCTTCCCTACATCCACCTTTGTTGCTTTACTATATAATTTCCATCATCAAACACATCAATATCTCATCTCAACATAAAATTCTCTCCACCCTTATCGCATCTGTTCTGCTCCATCCTCTTCTCAAACTGTTTGTGGCCAGCGCCCTTGAGCGAGTTGTCAGTGTTCTCTGTCCACCATTCCTCTCTCCCTCTTTCTTCTTTGCCTACTCCAGTCATGCTTTCACCTCCTCCACATCACCGAAACTGCTCTTGCCAAAGTCACCAGTGGCCATCATGTTGGCAGATTCCTGTGGCCACCTCCCACCCTCACATTACCTGACTCAGCAGCATTTGACATAGCCGATCACTCACTCTTCCTCACTCGGCTCCCAAGAAAACACTTTTTCTTTTCCTTCCCTCCTACCTCACTGGCCGCTTCTCTTAAGGATCCTGGGACTCATTCCTTGGTTGTTTTCTTTTGTCTGTCTTCATTTTCTTGGTGCCAAATGGACCTAAAAATGGATGTTTCCAGAGCACCTCTCTCCTGAAGTCAACCCATGAATCCAGCTGCCTACCTGACCTTTGTGCTTGATTATCTAATATATTCAAATGTACTGCCCTAAATTCCTGTTTTCCTACATCTACTCCAATCTCTCAACCTGGCCCTAAACCTGTTTGATCCAGTCTTCCCTCTTTTGATTATGACAACTCCATCTCACCAGGTGCTCACACCAGAGTCCTTGGAACCTTTCTTGTTTATTTTCTTTCTTTCACCCTACATCCAGTCTCGTTGGCTTTTCCCTTGAAAATGTATCACTGACTGCTTCTTGCCAACTCTGCTGCTACCACCAGGTCAGAGCTTCAATCGTTTCTTGCCTGGATTAGGTAGGACCATAGTCTCCTGTTTTCCTTTCAGTCAGAATCAAAGCCTGAGTCCTCACAGTGGCACACAAGCCTCCCGTGGTCCAGCCATGCTTCCGTGCCTCTTGGACGTCACTTCTCTCTCACTGCACTCCAGCCTTGCCCTTCCGGAGACGCACTCTGGAGGCTTCTGCCAAACAGACTCTGCACCGACTTTCCCTTTGCCTAGAATGCCTTTCCTCCTGGCATCTGCACAGCTCATTCCCTTGCTTCCTTAAAGTCTTTGCTCAATTAGGCATATCCAAACCAACGTACATAAAATCGGGGGGTGGGGGGGGAAGCCCTTCATAGCACTCACGGTAAGTCTTACACTGCTTTACTGTTCTCCTGTAGCTCTTAACACTTTTTAATACCATGCATAGCTTGATGTTAATTAAGTTTTTTGTATATTATCTCTATTTACCTCACTAGGTCAGGGATTTTTGAATAGTGAATTAAAAAAATAAAGTGTTTAATCTCATTAGTAATCAGGAAAATGCAAAGTAAGACCAAAGTGAAAGTTCATTTCATAATCGCTAAGTTGGTTTTCAAAAATAAGTCTGATGATACCAAGTGCTGACAGGGGTGCAGAGCATCTCACTGCTGGTAAATGCATAAGCTGGTATAATTGCTTCGGAAAATATTTTGGCATCATCTTGTAAAAGTGAACATTCATGTGACATAGACTCTCAGCAGTTCCACTCCTAGGTCTACACTGTTGAGAAACTCTTGCAGGTAATGCTCCAGGATCCAAACATAAGAATGTACAACGGCATTGCTCCCAATACAAAAACCAGAAACAAGCCCAATGCCTGTAGCTAGGGCTTGTATGCGTAGAGTGTCCACTGCCTTGTCCACGTACACTGCCATAAACGAATGAAAGGAACTTGGAGTTCTCCTCCATTTTTTTGTGATTGACATTTTTCTTCTCTCCTCAGCATGTCATCTTCTCTGTGAAATTTATCATTTCATATGCAATCCCGGATGTATCAAAACTCACGAAGAGCAAGATCAAGAGAGAGAAGTACCTAACCCAGAAGCTTCTTCACGAGAGTCACCTCAAAGATATGACAAAAAATATGGGGGTGATAGCCAAGAGGATGACAGAAGTAGTAGAAAACAATTTACGGCCAAAATTAGATTAAGAGCTTTATGTTCTGAGAAGCACTTTAAGGAATTTAGTTCTGTCAAAATATATTATGAATCACTAATGAGAATGTTTAAGTTAAATCACTATGGCAAATATGAGTCTTAACTATAACCATTTCCGTGCATATTATTTTTCAGTTTCAGCTAGCGATGCAGGAACAGGAAGATGTAAAACTTAGATCAATAAGGGCATAAAATTAATCACCTGGAAAACCTAAAGTGTTCCTTTTTTGATAAATTGGAATTTTAGTAACACAGAAAAAGTCTCTTAGTGTACTTAAAAACTGCCCCTTCTTAGCAGAATGGATTTTTTTTTCCTGTTTGATTACTTCATTTGTTTCTGTTCTCAGGCACATGATCTTTATTTTCGGGCAGTGTTCCATTTCTTCACTTTGCCAGATCTGTTCCAGAGTTATCTTTTCCTTACATGCCATCATTAAAGATCAGACATGCGCCCACCTTAATAGCTTTCATGTGATTGAAAATAGCTAACTTGGAATTCAGTTTGAATGAATGCTGCTGTTAAGTGGCAAATAGATTCAAGAATTCACAATGTTTGGGTGTATTGTCACATACCCCCAGAAAGGGAACCTCAGTTCGACAGAGGAAATGGTTTCAGTCTTCATTTTGGCCTGTCTTTCCAGCTCAAAGAAATACTCTTAGTGGGTTGGAATGAAGATAGCAAGGTTTTGAAGCATATTTGTCCTAATCGATGGTGACATCTTTTATCTTCCAGGAGCACTCCTGGAATATCCTGTGCCTAATCAATGTTGACTGCTTTGCAGATCTCAAGGGAATAGGATGACAAAAGTAGGGAAGGTTATAGATTCCAATAGAACTGTAACTCATGTTGACCTGGATAATTAACTTATCTCTTCTAGAGATGTGTCATTTCTTGGGGGAAAAAATGATATCACATGATTAAAATTATACTTTTATCAACTTAATTGTCTGGAAAAGATAAGCCCATCAGTTTCCCAGCAGATGACTTTTATTCATTAGATGGAGGAGGTACAGTATTACAAATCACCAAGCGCCTTCATGACAGCTCACTCATGGCCATTGTGGCATGACGATGTTGCGCATGGTCAGGAACAGCAAGTGCACTAATTATGAGCCATGCTAATTATGCTCCTTGTGCGGGGCGTGCCTTTCACCAGGGAGTCTGCAGGACTTGGCTTGTTTCTATACGTCAAGTGCTCAACATACCAAAGCATCTGCCATAGTGACTGTGGCTTCATCCACTTATTCTGGGCCCAGTAACTCATCTGTAATTGTATGATTGCACAAGAGACAGGAATATACTCAGATTATTTCTGATCAAAAAGACTCTGGCTTTGACTTGAGCTTCCAGCCTCTTCTAGAGCCAATCAGGCAGTTAAGGGTAATAAAGGAAAATGGTTTGGCCACAAACTGTACCAGTATCTGAAGATTACTTCCTGCTGAACTCGTATCCCATCACAGATCTTGCCCCCTCAGCTTGCTCAGCCTAGCAGTCTGCTCTGCTTCACTGCCTTTTAAGCATCAGGCCCTCTGGGAGCTCTGGAGAAGACACGGAGCCAGCACCTCTCTCCCTTGACTGGTGATGGGTCAGTGCTGGGTGCAGGAGGAGGTGGTGATTTGCATCCTGTTCGTGCTGGATGGGCTCCACCCACTGGGATGCTGTCAGGTGCTCAGGTGCCAGAGGAGCCAACCTGTCAGCATCCCAGCAGCTAGGGAAAGTGAAACATGTTTCAGTAATCAGGTTTTAGAGTCTTGTGATAATAAAGTAGCTTAAAAAAAAAAAAGTGTTTATATAGGATTCATCAAAGCAGTATTTCTGGGCTTTCGAATTGTCCCAGTGGATCAGGGACAACATTTTGCTATCTTTCTTAATCATGTTAACGATGTGGTCAGAGAGTGTTCAAGACAGGCCACGTAAGGTCTGACTGCACTAGGATGGAGAAATGAATTTCTTCCTGCTGAAAGAAACCGTTTTTCATTTGGCACAGCCCAGATGGGCATGCCACAGTTCCTTTCCTCACTCCCCTGTGATACTGCCCCTGGGAGGGGGTATCGCTTCCTCTCTATTTTTACCTCTTTTCTCTAAAGTGTGTGACTATCTCTTAGTGTTTGAATTATGGCAATTAATCACTGTTTATGCCAGCATGGAAAAGAAAATACTTTTACCTTATCTCCTTGTATATATGATAGAACTGCAGAAGAAACATACATTTATGTTTTCATAGCCCCAGCAAAGAGAATCCTCTTCATAGTTTAAAATGTGCTGCTGTAGACAGGAGGGAAAACACCTCTACATTTTTAAAGGCAGCAAATGTGATGTCTGACGTCTGACACTGCTAAGAAGATGCCCAAAAGAATAAAATAATGGAGCCCCAGGGTCACTCATGCCATCCACAATGTTAATGTGAGTCCAGGGATGACTTGTGGTGAAGAACATGGGGCAAGGGCTGCAGACCATAGCGGCTACATCTGTAAGCAGGAGCAGAGGTGGCAGCCCCAGGGAAACCTGTGGCCGTGGACCTGGGAAGGGAGAATCTGGCCCCCGACCTGTCCAGTGTTAACCACTAAAGAAATTTTAGCTTTCTATCTATCTTTTTTGTAATGCCTGTGAATTTTAATGAATTGAAGCGTTAGACCAAATACTCAGGGGATTTTTCTTTAAACATCCCTCAGATATTTTAGCTATGTTATTAGAAAGGGAAAGCAATCATTTTTGTTTTAAAACTAAACAAGGCCATCTTGTATACTGTCACCAAAGTGTTCCCTTTTTAATGCACATGTGTCTTGAATTTCATGAAGCATTAATTCACAAGGGGTCAGAATGTGCTCTTTCATTGAAACACTTCTTGTACCATTCTCTTATGTCCATAAGATGCGTGAGAAGTTAAAATGTATGAGCAGCTTAAGTGAAATATTCATGATGCTTTTCCTACACTGTAGCATAAGATGTAAAGTTTGTAATTAATGTTTGTTAATTTCTGTGCATTTTAATATTCTTTTATAATTATGAGCATTTTAATAAATTTGATTTTTTAAACAATACAGTGGTCTACTCTGTATTTAATTGTCTTAATGTTTTTTTAAGGAAGAGAACAAATATATATCTGCTATTAACTAGTGACCAGTTATGTATCGCTTGGATAACAAATGTGCACTTTTGTGTAAGTGTATCTAAAATGATATATTTTAACAGCCACCACTTACTTTGGAACATGGGTTTTCTAGGAAAAAGTAGGGATAGGGTTTCAGCTGAGGCTGCCGCATGCAGTGTTGGGATTGAGCCCCTCACAAGGCACCAAGCGTGGAGACCCAGGAGGAGCTGACGACCAGCCCACCATGCCAAGTGGCCCAGTGTGGGCATTGGCTAGGAGGAAAGGGTGCTTTTCTCTAATTGCATGAAAATGTCTTCCACTTGCTAAACCAGGATTGCAGGGGACAGTGCCAACCAGAAAGGACAAGTTCTCTATAAGTATCAGAAAGTCTCTGTAAGGACTGACAGCAGGCCTAGGTGCAGAAAGGGGAATTATAGATAAAGCATACTCTCATTACAAAGATCAATCTTTCCTTTATCCTGAGAAACACATAATCTAGATTTTACTCATTCTATCCGTTGATTTTCTTGAACAGCTTAAATCTCAATAGGTTTACAGTAAAACTATAAGTTAAATATATTCCATAACTGGGCCGACAGGAAAAAGTCTCGTCTGATCACTAAACTATGCACTTGGGACCAAGTCTAATAATGTTCTTCCCCTTCAACCACTATGCGCCCAGCAGAGGGGCAATTAGAGGTTGATTTCTGAAGCAAAGTACCCCCTTCTCATCTGGGGGAACAAAGGTATTCATCTGACAACCACCAGACACTGGGCCATATGTTTCCTTATATGTTACCTCACTGTCAATATAACTCTACGCTGAGACTTGAAGTAGCTTGTTTTTTAAAAGATTATAAAATATAAGTATGTGATTATAAAAGAAAAGCAATATGTTATTTAAAAATCCCAAGCTGTACAAAAAGGCTGTGCAGGGAAACCCCAGGCTCAGCTCACTCCCCAGAGGTCCCAGTAAATGTGAGTTGGGCCGTCAGGCAGACTCTGTGCCCAGAAGAAACTTAAGAGATTTGCTTTGGAGCTTTAAAAATTACATTCAGTGTATTAAGGTTGCAGATCAGAAAGCTAGTTATTTCCTTAAGCTCAGCCCAAATCCTATTCATAAATCTAGCAAATTTCACCAGTCACTCTTTATAAGTCTTTTGAATAATGTTTGGTTCCACTTGCAAATTTAATGAAATATGTTAAAATATCTGCAATAGCATTTACAAATACAGTGTATTCCATTTCCTTTTTAAATACTTCCAATTATCTGATAAATAGTGACCAAGAGGATGTAACTAATGAAACATGAACTCTTGTTTCTCTCTCTGCCTTCTCTTTCGAGGACGCCTTTTGCGAAACCATTTAGGCCGTGTTCCCCCCGTCAGCCTTCATTACTGAGACACTGAATATACAAATACATGATGGCCAGACAATGTATAAACAGAACTGTGACCCACAACCTGCAGCAACCTGCCCAGGAAACCAATCCTTTATGTACAATAATCAACCCAGGAAGCCAAACTGCTGTTAAGTGAGACTTAAAGTCAGACTGCTATCTGTAGGGACAAGCCAGGAAGCTAAAGAATAACTTAGGTAACAATTGGCCCAGTGTGGCCAAGACTTGATTAATAACTGACAGCTTCCCTAGTTTTGGTCCTTGTTTGCACCTTAGGACCACCAGAGACAATCGTGCAAAGGGGCAAATCTCTCAGGAGACTCCATTGATCAGTGAAAGGTTTCCTTTCCCTCATCTCTGCTGTGTGGATATAACTAAAAAAAAAAAAAAAAAACTCCATCTGGTTGCTCCCCAAAATACTGAAAACCAAACATATGTAAGGAGCAGCTCCCTGGAAATTGTTAAAATTGCCCTTTTCATTGGTGGTGGGACAAATACAACCCCAGGAGCTCCCACAGGAGCCCAGAGAGAACCTATCACGTTAACACTAACCATTCATTAATAATGAGGCAGGTTAATGCATTCTTGAGACCTCCTCTTCAATTTCCTTCATAAGGAAATCATTTCATTACCTTCCTCGTTTCAATCTAGGAAATTGTACTGAAAGCCTAAAATAAAACTTCCCAGACAATATTCTTCCACATCACCTTTGGAAGCTCTATTACTGTTCAGTGTGAACAGCGTAATTCCTAATACTTGATCATGGCACTCCCGTTACAAGAGGAATGATCCCTGGATGTCTCTTGAGAGCTCACTCCCTGGGTTTCCTATTGTATTCAGGGCTCCATCCCTTTGCAATTTGCCAGCCTGGATAATATCATAGTATCTTTTTTTCTAAATCTTGCCCCACTTAACATCTCCATTCATTCCTGGGCACCTAATTGCTTAATATTCGTTCCCCTGATTAACTGCTGCAGTTAATGGTAGGAGAGACAGCAGCCCAGTGTCCTGCTCACAAACCACCCTGCAATGCAGCCCAGTTTCTGCCTGGATGGCCAGGCTGTTACAAACATATCAGTCCTCCAAACATTTCCTTAGCAACTCTGACCTGCTGCACCAGCCAAACTAAACCAAATCTTTGTCAGCTGGGAACCAGCGCCTGGGGCAAATGTACTCCCTTCCCACCCACTAGCATATTATAAATGATGAGAGAAAGGAACAGAAACCTTGCCTGGAGTAAAAAGTGAGGGTTTCAATGTATTGATCTAAGCATCTCAAGAATATAGTTGGCTTCATCAAAAATATATCATGTTTTAATTAGGGTCGACAAGTGCATTTAGAGTATAAGAGAAGGTCACTGGGAAAAAAATGAGGGCAATGGTTGGGTAGAAGAAGTGTTGTGGTTAGTTTACCTGGGTGCAAGGCAGCCTGCCAGGTATAAGAAAGGAGATAAGATTTAGAAACAGAGGACCTTGACTCAATGTCTTGGATCTGCCACTGCCTAGATTCATAGCCTTTAGAAACTTGGGAGACTAAATACCCAACCAGACAATGGCCAGACAATATATAAAAGTAGAACTCTGATCCACAACCTGCAGCAACCTGCCCAGGAAAAGCCCGTATCTACGATCAGCCTAGGCGGCCACCCCGGCTATAAGTCAGCCTTGTAGGAAGTCAGACTGCTATCTCTAGGACAATCCAGGAAGCTAAACAATAACTTATGTAACAACTAGCCCAATATGGCCAAAACTTGATTAGTAACAGCTTTGCTAATTTTGGTCCCTGCTTACACCTTAGGACCAACCAGAGACAGCCAAATATGCCCCCTAACCAGTCACATGGGATGTCCTCCTTCTAGTTAGCCTGCCTGCAGCTTCCCCACACCAGCAGCCTCCAATCACCTGAGGCCTTCCCTATTATCGCCTATAAAACTTTCCTACTCCTCTGTCTGCCTTTGAGTCCCCAGCAAAACACAAGTGACAGGGGTTGACTCCTTTGCTGTAGCAAGATTGGAGTCAATACACTTTGCCTGTTCTCATTTGGTTGAACTTTACTTCCACAAATTTATTAAACCTTTCCAGGCTCCAGCTTCCTAAAGTGGGGCTAAATAGTTTCCTCCAATGAAGTCCCCAATGTCGATGCTTTTCACACTGGATTCAGTGTGCCAGGGAGTATAAGAAACCACAGGATAAACATGAGGTGTCTTCGTGGAAGGGAGGGTTTCAATGATTAAGGGAGAAATGGTCATATTAAAATAAACAGATATTTTGAAAGTGAATGCAAAATTTAAATGAGTTTTTCATAGAAAATAACAGCCTTTAAAGAAATTCCATACTTACAGTGAGCTGCTTCATGCCCCAGGTTATACCTTCACTTCCTCTGTCTTCAGTGGAACTTGGTGGAAAAGACTGAGAAGTGTTGACGTACGTTGAAAGCACCTCGTCGGCCACGACATTCTGGAATACTGATTCTCATACTATCATCTACGTTCTCCTGAGAGGGTCTAAGACCTTCTCAGGAGGTCCACAAAGGCAAAACTATTTTTACAGTATCACAAAGACATTCTTTGCCTTTTTCACTGTCATTCTCTCACGAGTGTACAGTGGAGTTTCCAGGGGTTCTATGACATAAGCTATGGCCACAGATTGAACACAGGAGCAGTTAATGAGCATCTGGCTGTTTTCTATTAAGCCAGACATTAAAAATGTAAACCAATGTCACTCTTCTCACTACATTATTTTGAAAAAACAGTTATTTTTTGTTAAAACATTTTCTGTTTTACATGTCATGGATTTATTCTTGTTATTTTAAAATTAATGAGCAATTTATTAAAATTTCTCAATTTTAGTTTCTAATACAGTAAATATTATAATATGATTCACCCAAACAAAATATTTTGCTTTCTTAAAACTTTAAGAGTGTAAAAGGGTTCTGAGGCCAAAAAATTTGGAGAACAACTGCTTTATAAAAATTGGAACCAGAGGAAACCATGCCATTTATGTTTAAGTTGGAGAGTACACTCCAAGTGTGAGGGTGACACAAAAGACCAATGCACCCCTTCCACTCTCCATGCACGTGAAATCCATCTTCTGGTTAATGTCACTGACCTCTAGTAAAGCTCTGTCTCCAATGCAAGGTCTGCATTGGTGCTTTGGCTTAGACAAGCTGCCTCGTCCTGCTCAATACCTGCTGAGCTCTGGGTCTTCATTCCCCAGCTGTCTGTCCTGGGCCGCATAGTGTGATGAGGCCTGCTGTGGGTTGTGTATCCTGCCACATTCAGCATATATTTGTGTATGTATATTGCATTGCAGGCTATTTTTCTTAGATATTTTGGGATTCCAGGGGAGGAACTATGACCAGCAATATAGATTGAGCAACCCTAATCTGAAAACCTGGAATTTGAAATGCTCCAAAATCCAAAACTTTTTGTGACCCCACGAGTGGAAAATTCCACACCTGATCTTGTGACAGGTTGCAGTCAAAATTCAGTCACACCACCCACAGTTTATTCAGCATCACCAAGGGGAAAATCAAATTATCTTCAGGCTA